CTATCGCTGAGTTGGCGGAGTTTTTTTTCTTAAATATATTAAGAACTGTAACTAATGGGCCAATTCCACCGAAAATACACCAATGTTATGGCAAGGCTATGTTACGCAGCTTTTTTCATATAAAATGGTACTAAAAACTGTCAAAATGCTATGTGGTTCCTGTTCAGTCACGTGTTTTAGATATAAAACTTAACCTGCACAAATGCACATACGTTAGAAAAGAATCTTCTAAGTGCATCTTTGTGATGTGTCTTTATAACACAGGCGAGAAGTTATATTTTATGTGCAAAACGTCTGATCGTACAGCAAATACATAGTATTTTGACAGTTTTTAGTACTATTTTATAACATTGGACAATGTTACGTCAAAATTCGCCCATAAATTATGTTTGTTCTCTTCAAAAGTATTTAATCGTCGTAATCACGTTTGTGTAAGATTAGGTTCATCTGAAAATTTGCAAAAATATAGAACTTTATCATTATGCCATATTGGACCATTAGTCCAGTCATTATAGTAAGTTCACCTCGGAATTCGAGATACCCAGCTGTAAGTCTATAAATACTTGTATATTGAACCATAAAAGTTGTCTCAAAACCTACATATGGTGGCACTAACTTACCATATGTAGTTTTTGGACAACTATTAGGGTTCAATATACAAGTATTTACAGACTTACAGATGGGTATTTCGAATTCCGACATTCTTATCTAATTGAAGCTTAAATGACTGATATTTTTAAATTTGTAAAAAATGTCAATCTAAGAAGATTATTAAGAAATTCGAGTAGGTTCGTGTATTGTTTGAATTACATTAAAAGATTGCATATTCAGTTTGATTGGATGATTTCATTTATGATAATTTGTTTATATTTTGTCAAGATTTTGTTTAGATAATGCATATTTCTGATTGCTGAAATAAAGTATATCACAAAACAATGTTTAGATAATTTGTTTATGCTAGTGTATATCAACATCGTTGAAAGTTATAATTTTGGAATGTTTCCCAAAAAGTTTATTAATTAATACGTACATTAGAGACTACATGTCAACAATTGTGGTTTGGTGATCGATAAACGCATGTAAGATATTCGATTCCATTTGAGAAATTAGTTTCAATATTAGCACAATATTGAAAAACTTTTTCTAGTTTAAGAATGTCAGTATCAACAAGTTTAGAACGATTATTTATATCTATAAAAATGCATACTCCATGATTCGACCATATTGTTGTTTTTTTTTTTTGTTATTTTTGAAAAGCAATCAGAACCTAATAGTCCTATAAGCAGTTGTGCTAATTTGACTAATACTAGTCTTTTTGACAGATGGCAAACATTATTATTACAATTTCTGTAATATGGCGAATATTATTGGTGCAGCAATGGTGGGTGAGGGCTATTTTCACTCGAAAACATATTGCTATCTATATTTTCAAGTGAAAATCGTTGTCACTGCTGTCTGAGAACAGGCTGCTCAAAGTGGGTATCAAACCCGGGACCTCTGAATCAAGTTTCGATAGATATTTTTTGCCTCCAATTTTAACTTTTTGCACTGTCAAATTTATTACATTAACTCTAAAGGCGCTACTACTGCACCCGTAACTTAAATATAATAAAAATCAAATTGTATTGGTATTATATGCAGTAATAATATCATGTCTACAAATGTTTGTTTATTGTTACGAAAACAAAATTTCACTATATGACGCCTGAACGCAAAAATGGCGCGAAGTAGCCGCACTCATGAGCAAAAAAGACGCTCGGAGTGAAAAGGCTCAATTAATTCAAGATCTGACTTTTCTTTTAACTAAGTTTCAGTAAAACATAATATTTGTTTTTTTCTATAACTACTGCTAATTGATTAGGTGTTTGCATATTTTGAAGAAGGATTACAAATTCATTATCAACTTTAGGAACTAATTGATGTTTCTTGTCAACCCTGTCACTCAAAAACACAAGTAATGCATACATTTTTTTTTCGCGAGAAGAAAATGTGAGCCATGGAAAAGATGCAAAACTCGAAACTAAAGCCGAAACTATTTAAAAAATGCCTTATAATTATTTTTTCGTAGTAGTCCTCTCAAGAATAAGCTAAATATATAGGTCTAATAAAAAGAATCAACACCGAGATATGGAATTGAAGATTAATTACTGCAACGAGGAATTAACCTCGAAATACAAGTACAAAAAAACTCATTAGACCTATAAAAATAATTGTAACAATGTATACGTAACAAAATGTAATAGAGGTAGAGCCTTTCTAGCGCCACTTGATTCACTTACCGCGTCAGTCTCGTACGGGACGACCATGAAAGTTTTGATCAGAAATTGTTCCCGATCCCTCTGATCACGGATCACGGACGGCATCATTCGATTACTGCACAGCACAATAAATCTTTGTCAGTCATTCACTCACAGCACTATTTATTTACGAACGCAACTAACCCGTAGAATTATTTTACTCACTGAGCACATGTTTTGAAACTTTTGTTACACAAGCGATCAAAACGCCATCAATCTATCATATCTTATGAATCTGTGTCACAACCCGACCGAATTAGCACGACGAATTTCATATATTATACAAGTACTACCTACCGCACTGTCAGTAGTTAACTTAGTCAGTTACTTCACTCAATTGCATGTTGCCATATCGCAAACTTGATCATGGATCATCTCGGATTTAACTTGACATCGATGTTCTGCAATTTTTTATTGCCTAACTTCACATGGTACACAGTTAGACCAAACGGTTTTTACTTTTGAATTTACTGAATACTACGGGTGAAGAAATATTGCTATATGTGGATAATCGACTGATTTACGCCCATCCAACCTATTTCTTAAGACAAATAATCAAATAAATGTCAACAAATAATATTTTTCACAGGTAATGTAGTAGATGCATTGATATAATTATTAATGAACATATTTCAAATAGATCTATGATCAAACAGTTTTAAAAACATCCTAAAATCTTTCTTTTAAAATAATGGATTTTTTGTCAGTCGCAGCAATTCATTTTAAAAGTGAGAATTGATTTACAATGACATATACATTAAGATTTTGAATTACAAATTATAAATAAATTACATTTAATTTTAAATTTTAATTTAAATTTTAAATGTGAAATGACTTCAAGATAAATAATAACATAATTATCTAAATAAAAATACAAATACTTCACATTCGTGGCAATGAGTTAAATTGTGATATTTGAATAATATTTTTTTTTATTATTATTATTTTTTAACAGCAATCAGAACCTTACGTCCTATGAGCTGTTGGGCTGAAACTTCTTCTTACTTCGTATTTTTAGATGGTAACCCAATGGTTAATCCATCCATATTTGATGATTTTTGTATTAGAATTAATCTAATAGGGCTGACTTTTTTATTGGTGCAGCAATGCCAGGCAAGGGCTATTTTTATTTGGAAACATATTGCTATCTATATTTCCAAGTAAAAATCGTTGTCATTGCTGCCTAACAACAGGCTGCTCGAAGTGGGTATCGAACCCGGGACCTCTGAAACAAGTCCCGTCGCTCTTAACCGCTTACCTACGGGCGAGCCCATTTGAATAATATAACGCATTTTTTTTAATAGGAATGCAATGCAATTGTTCTGCGTGTAATGTAAAATTATGAGTTGTTTTGAATATTTTTACAAATTATAAATGTATACATACAAATATTATTATATAAAAATTATTTTGAATTTGATGCTAGAATTTTTATGAATAAGGTCTAATAATTGGGCGTTGATAAATAAAAAACATGAAATTTAAAAAAAAAGATTTTAAATTCTATACGTTTCAGCTTTTGTCATCAGTAGAAAAGTTTTAGAGTTTTAGTTTTAAAAAAATAGAATTGGAAATAATCTATAGTATCAAGATATGATATAACAATCGTCAATGTTTAATTTTTATCAATATTTTTTCAATACAGGAGTTTATTATTATTTTAGTTATTTCAATTATAAAACTGCATAAAAATGTTTAGAATGCTTAAGGAACAAACTTATTTATAATTGATCACAAAATTTTATGTCCCAAAATAGCCTTGGTCCACAAAACATGTTAGATAAAATCAGACATAACAAATTAAACATGTTTGATCTAAATCAAAATTATAATATACTACACTGTCAGAAATATTTACTGCACCTATCACATGTATTTATTTCCAAATGGATTTAATAGTATGCCTATCAATGTCGTCGCCTGTCATTCAAAAGTTGGAATACTATACTCCGCCAGAAGCAGCACCGTCATTCTTGACTTGAAAGTGCAGAATACTAATAACCAACACAATAATGATGCTTCCAGGATAATAAAACATTATTCAGTAAAATAACTATAGAAGTATCTTTCAATCATTAACAAAAAAAATTAAATACTAAGGATTAAAAATACAAAAAACAATAAGGTAATACTGATCTACACAATTACAGCATCTTCTTACACCCCATAAGGATTCGCTTCACCCGTTGAAATAAATTCATAATCAATTTTTTTTGTGCAAATATTAAATTTGGCGAATATTTAGTATTTTAATTTAATTTCTGAATATACTACGAATAAAAATACTAGAACAAAAATAACCAAAACTAAGCAACACTATTCCTTCATCTGTGTGAATATCTAACTTGATCCACATTTAGTATTCTAATTCAAATTCCGAACATACTAATGAATAGAAGCAAAAGCACGAAAATAAGCAAAACTGATCTACACAATTCGTGAATGTTATTGAATCCTTTTATTATCATATCGATTCAAATTTATTTATCAAGATGAATTCCTGATCGTCTTTTAGTGCAAATATTAAACCTGGTGTACGACTAGTATTTTAATTATATTTTTTAATACACGTTAGAATAAAAATACAAGAAAATAAAGAAAATTGAGCTACATAATTTCTAAATATTTAGAAAGATAATTCAAGTTGATACAACTTCATCCAGCAAATTAAATTTATAATCAATTTGTTGTTTTTTGGCAAATATGCACTTCTACCTCTGTTCAGCACTCTCTTCCCTGACTATTCCCCCTCACATAAGGTGAAATCCTCCATGAACTTTTTACAATTTTATATACGTCATTATATAATTTTTGCAATAGCACCATAAAGATAAAATGAATCCAAATAGATATTTGAGGATTGTCAACTAATCGATTCGACTAGGCGTGGAGAGAAGTTGAAAACCATGGCGATAGACACTGCACATTTACATTTATTTGTGCAACGCATATTTACAATTGGCCATGTAAAAATTTGCCAATCGTAATTTGCATTTTGGTTACTTGTTTCCTGACTGCGTAAATTATTAAATACCGTTTATGGATTTACAAGTTTAGAAAAGTCCTTCATACGTATCGACATCAAAATTGAGATATGAGAAATATTTATTAAGGTTGATAAGGTTGAAAATTTTAAGACATATTTTGTATTTAATGTGACGTAGAAAATCTTCATGTAATTTGATATCGCGTCGGCCATACCACCCACCGGAACAACCATCTTTTTGTCATAAATTAACTCTCAATAAATAATAATAATTTATCTATTCTAATTCAATGAGTAATAAAATTTGATATATATATATATATATATATATATATATATATCAAATTTTTCTTTTAATATTTATATTGTTGTATTTAATATATGCCAGACAACACTAGGGATCGGAATAATACGTAGGTCATAATTCAGAATCAGTATGAAAAGGAAATTAATGGATCTATATAATATCGAACCAATCAATCATTTATTTATATAAAGGTTACTTGTTTTGCTGCTTATTCACTTATTTAGATTAACGGAGTTACAAATGAAGCATCTGATTAAAACTTAAGTTACTTGTTCTCGTTAGTTTCTATAGAATCGTAATACATACGCTATTTATACAGTATTTGAGAAAATATATCATTATTGATTTAACTATACGTTCTATAGTTACAATGGTATTTGTAATTCCAAATGTTTATGCAACTTGGAATTAATTGTAGCCTAACATTTTTTATATATATTTGAACAGTAATCAGAACTATATATTTTATATGCTTTTGTGATGTATATTCCTTAACCTTGTATTTTTAGGTTGACCATTTTCTCTGATAAGGTAATATTACATATATTTCAAAAAGCGTCGTAAATAGATATTAGAGTAATGCCACGAAATACTATTATTACTTAATATCATATTTGAAATTTATAATCGTAATAAAACGTGAAAATCTGATATCACTACTGCTTAATATCAAACTGGCTAAGATGAAGAATGAACTAGTAGTGGAAGCCAAACTTAAATCCTTATTCGTGGCCATTATGAATATATACTTGTGTTATCAGTAAAATGAAAATGCACTAAATCTTCGTTTGAAAGAAGTTCCAGATTTGTTCCAAAAACATTTAATTTGCCAAATAAAAGTTCGTGTCAATTCAAGAACGTTCACTGTGCATATGGGGTGTTTTCTAACTCATTTGGTGGACCCATTTCTAGCTAATTACTATCAGCTTTAGACTACCATCTTCTTGTTAATTTGAATAATTAATAAAATTATATATCATTTGTATATGGTGCATTAACCCACGTACGATTTAACACGTAATCTGATGCGAATTATGTTTAACAATATTGTTACAAAACTGTATGCATCATGACGTCAATTATATGCGAAACCACGCATATATGTTATTAGACCGTGCAAGATTCAAGAAATTGTATTGAAACTACTGAATAATTTTATTTCGACAACATATGGTTGATTTATGATAATAAATGGCCGAGAATGAGTATTAAAAAACGCATTTAAAAAATTAATATTATTAACGATATTTATTCGGTACGTATCAAGACTAAATATTCACATTCAATCCAGAAAAAATAATGCAAAATTAATTTACTTGTTAAGTGAAAACAAACATAATAAATACCAATTAAAAAAATTAAAAATAATGAAATATTTTAGGAAATTATTACTAAAATTAAATATTATTAATAAATCAACCGTATCAGGATATAAATCGGGATCAAAAGTGTACTAGATTAAATATTGCAGAAAAGAGATTTTATCAATTTAAAAGAAAAGAGATTCAAATCATTCCATAAGTCAAATTTTATCATGAAAATCACTCCATTCAATAGAGTCATATTTCAACTAAATCATTTCATAAAGATTGATTAAATACTGCACATATTTCATAGCTATTAGATTTTTTTTAATTCATGATTTCATAACTAGAATTATTAGAGCAAACTACTACTTTGTACGGTCAAGCTTGCTTGGATTTAGGTAAAGGCGAACATTCTGTAACGCCAGCTGTTGCATTTATAAAATAATCAAATTCAAATAGTAGCGAGCTTATAAATCTTAATCAAATTATATATATATATATATATATATATATATATATATTTTAGAAAATTTATATTTAAACTCCATTCATGCTGGAATCTTGCATGATATTGCCGTTCCATGCACAAAATTTTCGATGCAAATATTTTGCAGAATTTTTTTAATGCAATATTAAATACAGATTATTAATTACTTCTTTTATTTTTTACAGAGTGTTAGTGTTACTAACGTTGCGAACGTGGACGCCTGCTTGGGCCCAATTTGTTGGTCTAGTTCCCGGAACCGGCGAATGCGCCCTTCACCTTAAAGGCATAGGAAGGAGCGATGCCTTCGATTATAGTCTTAATTTATTACGAGGAAACTTGTAAGTATACCTAGTTATTAAAAATTATTTGAAAACAAATTGCTAGTTAAATATAATATCAATTAGTTCCAGAATCACCTGTATTCAAATTTTGTGATCATTCATAATTACAACCCATGATTTTCGACTAATCGTGCCCGTTGGTTATAACTGAATTAGTGTCGTTATTTTTTCTACTAAAATATTATATAAGTGATAACTAGAACTAATGATAATTCTATATAAATCGATATTGATATTCATTTTCATAAGACATAATTTATGCTAGTTTTTTAGATTCATAATACTTGGAGATACCATGTTTTTACAGAGCGATTCAAATTGTCAAAAATAAATCATATTTTGGAAGTCATTTCGGAAGCCATTACGATTATGTTTCTATAGATCATTTCAAAAAACGTTGCCAAAGAAATCATAGCTCAAAAATGAAGTTCGAGTCAGCGAAATTTACAATATATTTTATTTCAATGTTAACTTATAAGAGCATCAGGTTCTAGTTCTTATAAATCTATAATATTTTACGTAGTTAGTTGTTACTTGCAAATTCATGACCATGCAAAGTTTCATCAATTTCTTGAACAAGTAAGACTGATTTTATTGTAAGTAAATATGTGGATAAAAACTAATTTGAATATTTCACTTGCTAATAATTCACTTTCGAGCTATGGTTCTTTGACAAAGATTCTTGAAATAATGTATAGAACCAAAATTGCGCAGTGTTTCTGAGATTTTTTGATAATAAGAGCGTTGAAAATAATCTAGATTTTGACTGTTACTCATGATACGAATAAATTGATATAAATTAAAAGTCGTTTTCATAAATGACGCCAAAATTCTCGAAGACATCAGATATCGCATACAATAAGACAATAACACGAGAAAGTGAGATTGGCCATGACACTCCTCGATTATCTTACTTTAAGTTATCGCCGCGAAATATGATATCGTAATAATACCTGTTTAAAGATATTTTTAAACATTTTTACAATGAATAAGTGTAGTAAAGTAAAAAAGCATTACCACAGTTTTTAATTCACGCGCAAATTTATCAATTATATTTATTTAAGCAGAACGTTTATTCGCTGTTTTACTGGTAACGAATGCACATTTCAAATACACATTTATACAATTAGAGTATAAGAAAAATATTGATCCTTATTTAAAAAGAAATCAAAATGATTATTAGTTCCGGTGTTATTGATTTATATTCCACACGTAATTCCGGTTAGTTTAAATAAAGAGAATCCATGGACAAACGGAAAGACAATCATCGTAATTATAGTGATAAGTTTATCATATCATTAAGTCCTCGGATATGGAATATTAAAATTAAATTAACAGAATGATAATTTTGCGTATTGTAAATTAATGAAATTATTGCGATATTTTAATAGCATGTTATAAGTGTTACTATAATACAAGGGTCAATGGTTTTATGAATCGCATATGAGTAAATGCAAAATTAAAATGGCATAAATCAAAATTAAACTCTGACAAAGCTAATTAGAAAAAGTTATTAATGCCCTTGTGCTGAGTAGGATGCTGGTAATATAAACAACATAGAATGTTATGCTCACCTTATTGGTAAAAAAGTACTAATAATATGGTCAGGCGGTTAAAATACAGCTTATCCTTCCTTATATCCATAATTTTGTGGTCAAATATACATAAACACACATACATTTTCAATTTTAGTATCAAACGATTCAAAATGACTTGAAACGCCAAGAAACCATAAAATTAGCAAGTCGTATTTTTTTTGAAAAAGGAATTTTTTCTTCGGGTATGTTGAATGAAAATTGCGATGGGTGTCATTCAAAAAGTAACTTCAGCCATATTTTTTTGCTTTCGCGTGTTAGTTAATAAATTTAAATGAATTTCCAGGTAACAATTAATTATTATTCAATTATTTTAATCGTCCATTGATTCATTCATTGTCCTCCGTACGACCTAATTGATTCGATCGGGCCATGCAGATGCCTTCGAGCACACATAATAATAATTCACCGAGATACGCATCTGAATTTCTAATTAATGTGCTCATACAACTCAATAGTAAGAGATCTAGTGTTCTTGCAAATATACGAATAACTTGAAGCTTCATACACATGGTCGTTAGTACTTCCATATTCAACATGGTGTTATGTACAAGTATTTGATTGACTATGAATATGAAGTATACATGGTCTGTTCAAAAAGTACCCGGAATTACTAATAATTAAATTTCGCGGGTCTGGAGTGTCTGATTGTCAAAATTTTTTTTTTATTGTGTTGGTATACATGCCCCTAAAGTATGATGAAATTTTCAGCTATATTCACTGTTTACTTTGTCTGTGGTAGCCGCTAAGGTTCGACGTGTTTTTCTGAGCTCGGCGATTTTTACAATGGAAGAATTGAAAAAGTCAAAGAATTTGTATTAAATTTTGCGTAAAAAATGAAATAAAGTGTTGCAAAGTGCAAAAATTCACCAGATATGGCTCCGTGTGACTTTTTCCTATTCCCAAAGTTGAAGAGACCCATGAAAGGACGGCGGTTTTCCTCGATTGAAGAAAATCGCCGAGAGTGCTCAAGGACATATCAAAAAGTGAATATCAAGGGTGCTTCGAAAATTGGAAAAAACGCTGGCATAAGTGTATTATATCTGGGGGGGACTACTTTGAAGGGGACCACATTAATGTAGACGAATAAATAAATATTTTTTTGAAAAAACGAAAATTACGAAAACTTTTTGAACAGACCTCGTACTTGCTCAAATTGGAAACGCCATGTGGGTGCAACAAATAACAGTATCATGATCAAAATCAATAGTACCGAAAGCAATTGTAAAAATACTTATTTTAATAAAAAATATCTAGTAAGTGTTAATCAAGAGTCAACTAAACAAATATTCAATAAACGCTAAAGATTTTTTTGAATGTTACTGAACTAAATATTATAGCATTATTTTCTTATTGTTACAGCATCTTGAGTAACCTTACCCTGACTGGTACAGTGATATTTAACTTGTCAGTACTACTTAATACCCATATTAATTCATGCTTTCCAATGATAGTACTATTTTTGTTAAGCATCCTATATTATATTTTCGGTAAATAATCTAAATGATGTGATATGTATGATTCACAATCATTTTCAGCGTATTAGTATTAACCAGTTATGAATCTTCATCGTCAAGAATGAGATGTATAACTAAATTTCTAATTAACTCATACAAACGTCTAAAGAAAAATACCATGATTGTGATACGATCTCACAATTACGCAAACACATAAACACTAATTCGTTTAATGATTACTAACGAACCTATGTAATTTCAGCGGCTACACGGGAGATCAAAATTGCATAACTTACGATGCCATCAACGCGGCCTACTTGGAGTCCAGAAAAAGGATAAGTGAGTATATTTATAAAAAATTGTTTATTTTTGATAATTTAATATATATTTTTGATATAAATAATATATTAGTTTTGTGCTAAATTGACCTCTATTTTTAAGGATAAAGTTCAGAAAATAGCCATAAACAAGTAAATATTTCTTAAAATAATGAAATTCTTATGATGGAAAAGACTGCTTTAAAATTTAGTTTGATAATTTAAATCAGCTTCAAATTTCTATTATTAGGGGTGTAGTGTTCATTGACGGAGCACGTATCAAAATTTTTTTGTTGGCTCTCACGAAGAACAAAACCTTCAAAAAAATAAAAAATGCATACAATTAAAATGAATATGATTTATAAACAATATTTATCTGTCACGTTTCCAAAACTCCTAGATTCAAATTCAATATTAAATCATGTATAGATTTTAAATAGATGCTAACTAGATCCTAACCACATTCTAACCTTAAACTGACCACATCCCAACTATGCCCTGATTAGATTCTTATAAGATTCCGACATGGTCCCTTGTAATTTAGATTTTTACCAGAATTGTTTCAAATTCTGATTAAATGCTTATTAGGTACGTAGTAGCCTCGCTCCTACTCGATTCTAATAAGATTCCTACAAAATCACACCATTAGCCAATTATGACTGAACAAAATTATGTTAATACAATAATAGAACCTCCTCCTATAGAATATCTGGATCAGTTCAAGTACAATTTTAATAAATGTAAATATTCAAAATTTCAAGAAAAAAGTAAAGACGCACAACTCAGTAAAAACCCATCAGTAACATCTGTTAAAATTCATAATAGTGCAAAACGATTCGTAATGTATAACTTTAGCTTTAAACAAAATAGGAAAGTTGTACTACAAGAAGAATTAATAATGAATGCATGTTCGTTTTCGCGGAAGAGGAATAATTTTAATAGCAGCTACATATGTACTTGAATACTAAATATTTTTGATTTCCTATTCAGATACTCAAATCAAACATCAAATTAAATAGATTAAGCGTAAAATTATAATTAGATATTGAAGTTATGGAATGTAATTGTAAATACAAATTAGGCCTTCGTAAAGATATATTACAAATATTGAAATAAATAACAAAACTTAAAATAAATATTAAACGCTTGAAATTAAGTTCAACAATGATTTGCAACTATAGTTTATAACTGATGATATATTGCCATCGAATTTTCGTGTCTAGTATTGTCTAATTTGTGTGAAATGTTTAATTCTTTTGAAGAATCTATAGCTTATGAATATACTTGCATATTTATTGTATTAAATAACTATATACACCTAGCAAATAAATAATGAATATTCGATCTAAAGAATAAATTAGTTAGCAACGATTTTAATTATGCGTTCCTTTCGAACTGCACCCAGCGCCAAAGGACTTGGGTCAATTTACATACTTTATAAAATCTGCACATTGCGATTGTTCTCAAGCCTAGAATTACTTATTATTAAAACCTATATCGAATGACGAAATATAATAGGAATAAAATTAACAGCCCAGAACATATTAGAAAAGTCTAATATTTCTATTTCAGCTAAAATATTCCAACTGCGATTAATTTGCGAATAAAAAAACTCTTGGTGTCTATGAATTTGAATATTTTCAATTTCAATACTGTCACGTTTATATATCTTATTTTCATTTCACTAAATGATGGCCTCAACGTAGACCGAAACTTATGAATCAATAATAGTTTGATTTCTTTATTCTTAATTTTTTTTTATTTGGTTAGCATGAAATATTTGAATTAATTTGAATCTATATATAGTACATATATAGAGCTAATGTTATTTATGATTAAATTACATAAACTAAAAACCAATTTTTTGCTCAAAAAAAAAATTTTTATGTTTCTATTATATAACTATTACTAGGTTTCTGATATGGAATGTCTTCTTTAAGAACTGTTAAAAATAAAAAAAAATGATTTATACATTTTTTTAATTATTGAAAAATTAAAAAAAAAAAAAAACTTTTTACTTTTAAAGAATGGATATTAAAACACAGTGTGTACTTATTTAAGATTGTTGTAGTTTTAAGTTTATATGTTTATTTAGATTTTTCATTTCAATCCTATAAAGGTTAAAAGTAAGTTCTTTTAATTTTTAAGAGATTAAAAAAAATCAAATGTATAACAACTTCGTACCTCGTACTTTTTACAGTTCCTGAAGAAGGAAACCTCTAACATTCTTGAAGAGTAGGACTAATTATAAATGAAAAGTAATTTTGTTTTTGAGAAAAAAAGAGGCTTTTAGTTCAGAAAAGTAATATCATATGTGTGTGTGCCAAGTATAATATTATGAACTACAAAATTCCCGTTTCGTAATTTACATTTGCTGAATTCAAAATGTTGTCCTATTAAGAGGAATGGGTTTGTCTCCCACACCAGGAAAATAAAATCTTCTATGCTATGTTTTTGTATGTATTGATTTTTAAAATAATATTCTTTTAGTTTTTAAAGTAATTAAAATGTTAATTTCTTGAAAATTTGAAATTGAAATAAAAATCATAAATATATTTTATTTTACTACTTCATTTTGTTTGATTTTAGATGTGGCCCAACCCGAAGGAGAATGGAAAACTGAAGAGATCGCGAGCGTCGGCGAACTTCTGCTCGACATGTCTATAAATTTAGCGAGAACGTGAGTATATATCATTATTATTGAGACATTAATGCCAAGAACCGCCAAAATATTCCCGACTTGCCGGGACCGGCTCCGGTAACGACTCCGTGAGCATAAAACAAACTTTCTTTTGCGAATTATCGACTGACGTACTCGTGTGCATATGTAGAACTGATAAATAAATTGTTTTTTTTTCTCTCTTTAAACAAAACCGAACAAAGGGACATTTAATGAAAAGAAAGTTTTTACGGTCGATAAATTCGGTTGACAAACACATATCGTGATTACGAAAGACTGGCCGTCAATTGCATATTGAAAACCATCAGATAGACATCTCTTTGATAAATGACGTACTTAATAATTATCTGGACGTAATAATTTATGCATAAACAAAACAAAAACGGCAAAAAATCGTGTACGAGCATATGAAAGAACTAAACAATATCTAACAATTTTTAATTTTCAAGGATTTAATTTTATAATACTTATATCGAATTCAAGAAATAATAAATTAATTAACTCTGAATCTAAAGATTATATATTTATAATCTATAGCGATTTTTCTCAATATTATCAGAACATAATTAAAATCACAAAAAAATCGTTAGTCAAATAATTACTAATATGTCATATTAGAAAAGCAAACTAATTAACTTTAGTATCGTTCACCTTATAGAAATTAATTAAATTATAGTTCTGAATAATATTCATTATACCTTTCAGATATCCATTGTACATTTATAAACTTTTTTATAAATCATATAGTAAAATATCAAAGTATAATACAAAATATTAAATTATACTGTCATTATAATACAAGCATGTGTCGATATTAAACCGTGTTAGACCCTTATAACACTTAGTTTTGCAGAGATAATTGGAGAGCATGATTTTTCATTTTCCATAAGAGATAATCTTACATTATTGCTCTTGAACACATATACGTTTTATTTCGCCACTCAAGGCTGAAAAATCTCCTTGCCAAGCACAGATCTAAAAAGAAAATACAACAAATCTCATCTTCTTCGGACGAGCAGCATTCAAGATATTAACTTTGTAATTTCATACCGTTCACGATTTATATCGTAAACTTTCACGGTTTTATTCCGATGAAATGCACTTTATGGACAATCTTCAGATCACATTGTGCAGAATAATGGCAATCATTTATTCGCCATAAAACCGATGCCCAATGATACGAACTGGATGCGTAACAATTAATTTCGATCATTTTGCAATTGCAAATGATTTGAGAATACTAATCAAACTACTCAAACGCGCGAATCAATTTGGCATGTCGATAATAAAAATAATAAATCTTGATGACCAAAAAATCATCATATGAAAGCTTATACATGAAATTATTCTTGCAATTTCTCTTCAAGTAAAGATCTTCATTGGGCTCAGAGACTTATAAAAACTACTTTTGAAATGAATTTATTCACACGGTAAAAAATATTCTGCAAAATCTGTTTATTCCATATAAAATATAAATTATGTGAAATGAGTTTAAATAAGTCGACGAAAGCAATTGTTATTTTAAAGTAACTCGTAACTTTTTATTTCCTAGTCTTATTGTCTAGAATGTCAACGGAGTGATTTATAAATTGGTACTTTTCATCTCTTATATTATCTTAATTTTTGCGTTTCTGTTTTGAATTTATACACTATGACGATTATACACGAATTTATTTCTGTTAGATAAAAATATTCATAAATTATGTTTTTGGAAATATATATGCTACACAAATAAAATTAAATAGGTAAATTTTCTAATTACCTCAAAAAATAATCGCATAGGATCGAATAAAATAGAAGAAAGAGAAAACAAATTATTTCCAAAAATATCGCGCTTAATGCTAATGGCATAGATCAAAACAGAATTTCCGCAATAATTTAAATCTTACACTTTCTTGAAGAGAATTTATTTTTAGCTACCGCTATTCAGATGCTAATGCATACTAAAAAAATATGTCCCTGATACCTTTCAATATAAAACTTCTATACAATTCTACCAATCGATCATACAATAATAATCGGTATTATTTATTGATAGTTAATTTAATTAATTTACAACCACAACACGAATCTCTCTAGCATACATATTTTTGATATTATCTGCAATCACAATAGCATTGCAAGTCACAATACACACTGTCATATTATAAACATTTAGAATTGATACTTTAGATATGTATAAAAAGATATCATCTTGTGATACAATCTCTTTTTATGCGTTATTGATATTTCCATTCGGTAGTAAATAAGTTCAATTATTTATTGGATTTCATATGCAGTAGAAAGATTCGTACGAGAAGATTGTAAACCAACAAGGATTATGCGAGTATTTCGAAATGACCTACTAAAACCGAATATAAAATAGAGTTAAATTAGAATAAAACAAAATGTTGGAACTAGTAGATATTGAGAAGCCTACGACATGTTTTTTTTCCTTGGAAGAATGATACATATTATATATGAAGCTTTTCACTACGAAAGTGTTTTCCGCAGGAGTGACGAACCAGTAAAACGCCCAAGTATATGTTGCACAAAATATTTTAAGGTTTTCCAATCATTATCAATGAAAATGTATTTAAAAACAAAAAAATACAGTTCTAAAAAATACAATAACAAATACAAATTCTCAATAATTTAACTCACGATCAGTGTGATAAATATTGAAGCAAATTTTTTTATACTGGATGTCATTAATAGGCGACATTCGTACTCAAAGGTTGTCAAGGGAGTGTCATCTATAGACGACGCTCGTAGCGAAAGGGTTAAAAATCAAATATCCATATCACGTACACCAGAAACCCATCAAACATATTTCATCACAAAGTGAATAATAATTCAAACAGTCTCTGAACGGACGACGTAGTGCTTAACTTAAGAGTGCTAACAAAGGCGATGACGAAATCATTCGCGTTATTACATATCAGAAATACCTACTAAATTATTCCTGAACGAAGAAAAATCTTTTTGTTAAAAAAACGCATACAACTTCATATTACATACCATTACTTTATGATAAATGTGCAGAAAACATAATTTAATTTAAATAATTTAAAAAATATATTTAACAATGAAAGATGCATGTGTATGTATGTGTATGTTGTGTGTGACTTGTGTACACTTGAATAGAGAAACTGCAATACTAAATAAATTTAAAAATTTAGTAGTTAAAATACTCTTAATTATAATTCAATAACTCATTTAATATACAAAAGTCGTTCATCTATCAATATAATTTCAGTTACGGTCTCAGCTACGAGGAGATCGAGAAAGGTCTGCCGCTGATCGACACGTCGAAGACGCTAATTCGCGAGGTCTGCCCGCCTTTCCTTTCGAACGTGGAATGCAGACCTGGCAAATACAGACGACTCGACGGCCTTTGCACAAACATCGAACATCCAACCTGGGGCGCTACCATGACGCCATTCCAGAGGTACGATGGACACGATTTAACAAAGATGACAATTAAATTGCATCGAACACAAAGATACAATTATATAGTACTAAACAATATGATGTGGTTTCATTCTTATAACACATATGATAAACCACCGTAGTCGGATAAATCCTATTTCTAATATACAAAAGCGTGTTAAAATTTTCTTCAATACACATTGTAATTCCAATGCAAGTTTTTGAAATCAATAATATTTTTTGCTTGATTTGACAGCAATAGTATGCTCATGATAAATGTAAAATTTTTCAGGCAATAGCATGCCGAACTCCTAATAAATGTAAAACGTACGCAAAATTTTACACAGGTCTACGAAGTAATAAAAGTTGTGTATATTAGGTATGCGACATATGTTATCAAATTTTTTTTTTCGAAACTCCAAAAGCAAAGAAAAATAAAAACAAAAACATCACCGATCTAGAAATTTTACTGCATGGTAATTAAAATATTACAATTTCTTCAATAAATTCCTCTTCTCCATAAATGACCAGTGCAACGGATTTCTGCAACGCTTTTCTCATCTCTGTTGAGTATCTACGTGCAAACTTCCAGCAGTATTTTGCTGACATAATTACTCCTCATTGTCCCTAGATAATCTGCAAACATATTTGTAGTTAACTCAAAATATGTGTGCAAATTACTGCTGGAAGCTGCAAAGGATACTCAACAGAGATAAAAAAAACGTTGCAGAAATCCGTTGCATGGGTCATTTAGGAGAAAAAGGCCAAGAAACGACAAAAATTATGAAACTTTAGATATAATGCAGTAAAATTTCTAGATCGGAGATTGACGTTTTTCTAATTTCTCCATTTTTTGCAGTTTGCTCCAAATCTTGACTTTAGGTTCTTGCTTAACGGTAAAATATACTTTGGAAAATATATGTCACACACCTAACATAGGCAACATTTTTCAATTTGTGTATCTGTGTTATTAACTTCCCGTAGGGCAAGTTATAGTAATCGCAAAAAAATCGAAAAAGAAAATTTTTATATATCTTTAGGTTTCAAAGGTTTCTGAACACTTTGGCAAACCTTAGAAAAAATGGACGTATGTGTGTGTGTGTTTGTGTGTGCGTGTATGTGTTCGGATACAAATTTTCGTCGACGATTTCGGGAACACCGATCAACCGATTTAAATAATTCAAAAAACATTAGTGCTGATTAGTTTTTGGCGAAGGCAGGTCTAGCCGTTCCGAGGATACGGGGCAAAAAGTGCCAAAAAAAACGGTAACTCTGTTTTTAAGAGAACGGAGCGTCCGATTTTAATAATTCAAAAAACATTTTACTTGTATTGACAAGATGAAGAATTGATCAATTTTCATAAAGGCAGGTCTAGCGGTTTCGGAGATCTAATAAAAAAAGTAAAAAAATGCCATTTGGCGGTCAAAAATGATCAATAGACATATGCACATCAAATTATCAGATATTTTATAGAGATTTTAACAATAAGTATAAATTTTGTTTACATTCCTATGGGTTCCGTACCAATGCATATCCATTAGACGGCGGCGCGGCGCTTACGCGCTTCGATATTTCGTCTTTATGCAGTTAAAGGAGTACGATTGCTTTGAAAAAAAGTTCAAAATTTCCAAAATATTTCAAAAAACACTTTTCTTCAAAAAGTCTTTTTCAAAAAAAGTAAATTTTTGTCAAAAATTTATAGTTTCTCAAAAATCTAATTTTTCAGAGTAAATTTTTGTCAAAAATGTTAATCTTTTAAAAAAAAAATTTGGTACGGGAAGTTCCAGCAATTTGCCTTAAAGCACGATGCTATGTGCCCCACTAGTTAATAATTGTATTGCAATTTTACCAGAAGCTTCTAAAATGTATCTTGTTATCATGCATAGATAATACCTATAGGATAGTTAAATTTAACCTGATAATAATATTCCTTAGGTTGATTGGTCCCCTGTATGCTGATGGAATAAACGCGCCTCGGATATCGGTGACTGGTCGGGAACTGCCACCGTCCCGTGTGGTCTCGCGCACTATGCACCCGGACGAAGGATTCCACGACCACGCAGGAACCGTCATGGTCATAGCCTGGGGACAGTTCATGGACCACGATTATACTCTCACTGCCACACCTCTTGGTAAACAAATACTTTGTCAACTTAGTTTAATATACAATTTGTATATATTGATTGGATTATACTAATCACTACAGAACAATTACTGCCTGAAGTCAGAAAACATCTAACAGTGATTTAAATCATATATTCCGCAGAATGAATATATTATAAAACTCCGTTTTCAAAAACAAAAGTGGCGATTTAAGATAAATATATTTATCTTAAATATCTTTATAATATATTCTTTCTGCTGTATGTTGCAGGAATATTAGGTTGTCAAATATCTCCCTTCCGCTTTTTTGCTCTTGGTTTATAATACAAAAAGGCGGAAGGGAGATATTTGACAACCTTATATATTGCTACCATTCACGTATTGAATGGATTATTATGACAACACTAAGTTCAATAGCATAGAGATTATTTAGCATATACTTAATAAGTACAGAAAGAGTATGGGCGCACTGCCACAGAGAATGGGCCCCACCCTGGTATTAAAATAATAAATACGCCATTTTAAAGGTCTTTTTGAAAAAAAAACGCTATACCAATTTTCAACTTTGTATCTCACCTTATGGCCGAGATATCATTGTAAATATATGAAAGTGGCCCCTTTTTTCAAACTCACGTTTTGGCGTAACCATAAAAAATATCGAAAAAAATTTACGTGGTTCTGTTCATATTGGCTTATGCCACATTATGTAGAACAGTCGATGCCAAATAATCAATTATTATTAGCTGAAAAAGATAAAATAATTTTTCAATTGATGTTTTCCGGTAGTGCGTTTAGTTGGACCACCTTCTAATTAGCGTTATTCGAAAGCCTATTGCTTTTTCTTTTAGTACTGAAAATATTGTTCAAATCAATTTTGAGGAACACATTGGAAAATTGATAAAACAGGAGCCAGTACACCCGCGCGTAACGCTAATAGTCCTGCAATTGCATGCAGTTCGTTCGGACGCGAAGCAGTGCGCGATGCGCCCGAAACCATTCTTAAGAAACTCTGAATGCGAAAATATTTACCAGAGTTTCTAAATGATGATATCCCGAGGTCACATGATCACAGAACATAACATTAAAGCGAAATTTTCAAACGACTAGTATAAAAATATATGCACCGTTTAAATATGAACTACCAACTAAAAATTCACTAATTAAGTAAGCTACAAATCAGCTTGAATATATAGTTGATACCGATAGCAAATTTTTCATTTCCAGAAAATTCAAAACACGAAGACGTAGAACTTCGTACTGATAATTTTTCTGCTCATTTTGACTAAATATTTCAGAGTATTTCATTAAAAACGTAAAACAATTTACGATGCAAAAAAACTGTGCGATAATAAACTTAAGTACAAATTAGAAATAATCAAGTGACATTAATTGCGAGTTTTAAAATTTGAAGTCAAGTTCTGTCGTAATCCAAAATCTATGTTTGCTCCATCGCTATATATTATGACGATATTACAGAAATCAGAAATCTAAATATTTATATAGGCATAGAATAGATTACGATCCTTATTTCTGTGTTTCATAATCCTTTCTTATGAATTATATCATAAAGATTACATCAGACAATGCAAATTAGCAATAGTTTCAAATACAATCGCGTGGCTATATATGCGACAGTCTATCGGCAAATAGTGCGAGGCATTCCATATAAATTTATTGATATCTTGATATTAATACAAAGCAAATACTAATTTATACTTTGATCTAATTCATTCTTTAGTATAATTTATTCTTTAGACTATTCTTGTACGTTTTAAAAAAATACTCAATTGCAATCGTTTTTCCTGTTGTTAAGAAATTTTATGTATATTGTATATACTCGTATATTTAAAACTTCCAATTTTTTAAATGGTAAAACATTTTTTCAAAAATGCCAATGTTATTCATTTCAGATCCATTAAATCGTAATGACCCCGAAGAATGCTGTAAAAGACCACCTCATTTGAAACACCCATATTGTAACGAAATTCAAATTCCAGACGACGATTACTTCTATCGATTGTTCAACGTAAAATGTATCGATTTCGTGCGTGGATTCCCATCCCCGAGAGCAGGATGTAAACTTGGTAAATATTGCAAATGATCAGATTAAAAACAACGAGCTTTGTTATGTTATTAATATTAAATTCCAAACTTAGGATCAAGAATTCAGTTCAATACTTTAACCGGAACATTGGACGGTAATACAGTTTATGGAGTAAATGAAAAATTCGCCCGCAAGCTTCGTACTGGATATGGCGGTCTCCTGAGAATGAACCCAGTTTTCAGTGAATACGGATTAAAAGATCTGTTGCCACTCAAACTTGATGTTCCTGATGAGGGTTGCACAAGGCCAAACAGATCTATGTACTGTTTTGAAGCCGGTAAATTTATTCTTTAGTTTTTTTTTTTTTTTTAATTTAAGACCCACTTCAAAAACGATTGATTTCGATGATTTTGGTGTATACTACTACTACTACTACATATGAAAACAACCTATGAAAACAATGCAAATCTCAACTAATATAATATTCTATCTATCCAGGAGAGATCCGTGTCAACGAACAATTGGTGCTGACATGCATGCACACTTTAATGGCCCGAGAACATAATAGATTGGCAACTGGATTAGCTCAAGTTAATCCCCATTGGGACGATGAAACTCTCTTCCAAGAAGCGAGAAGAATCAATATCGCCGAAATACAACACATCACATATAATGAATTCTTGCCAATCCTTCTTGGCAAAGAAGTTATGGAAAAATTCGGCCTATTGCTCAAGAAAGACGTAAGTGGAAATATTTACTAAATTTCCATTTTATCAGCAAAAACACAACTTACTAAAACTGTTTCATTTATCAGGGTTACTGGGACGGTTATGATCCAAATGTTAACCCCGGAGTAATTGATGCTTTTGCGGCAGCAGCTTACAGATTTGGTCACTCTTTGTTGCCTACAGCAGTTGAAAGATGGTCTAAAGCCCACAAATTTATTGGTTAGTAGTCGATGCGAATATGAAAGTTTATGATAGATATCTATTAAAAATTCTAATTGTTTCATCTGTTTTTAGCATCCAAACGATTGTCAGATTTGATCAGAAGACCTTATGATCTCTATCGCGCTGGTGTCATCGACGAATACTTCATGGGACTTATGAATCAAGTTGCGCAAGCTATGGACGATTCTATAACACAAGAAGTAACTAACCATTTATTCAAGAAAGTCGGAGCCCGATTTGGAATGGATTTAGTATCATTTAACATGCAAAGAGGTACTTACAAGATTGACTTTCCATAACCCGCTTATCATATGTACACATATTGCATATTGCAAAATGTAAAAATAAATTACCCATTAATATAATAAACATTTATGAAATATTTCACTCAACACGTATTCTCATAATTATCTAGATACATACACACACAACTGTATATAAAGAAGTAAACAGTTTCTGTTCTAAGTGATAATTATTAATTTTTATGCACAGGTCGTGAGTTCGGATTACCTGGATACATGGAATTCAGAAAATTCTGTGGTCTGCCAGGAGCTAATTCTTTTGAAGAGTTGTTCGGTTCTATGCCCAACGAAACCATCAAAAGATACACCTCCATCTTCGAGTAAGTAACTATTTTTCTGAAATGAAATCAAGCACATCATATTATACATAATTACATTATATAATAATGTTTAAATTCATGTATTCAGGCACCCAAGTGATGTTGATCTCTGGTCTGGTGGTGTATCAGAAAGACCACTTCCAGGAAGTATGTTAGGACCTACTTTCGCTTGTATCATTGCAACACAGTTTTCATACTCTAGGAGAGGAGACAGATTTTGGTAATTAATTATGTACATAAAGTAACTAATTCCAATAGTAAATAAATTTAGTAAATAAAATCCAAAACCAATTCATCTAAATAGTTGAATTCAAGAAAATATCAGAAATATCACAAATATTAGCTCAATTAGATGTTTCTTGGTATTTAATATTTATTAGATACTGCTCATGAAGGATTGACATATATTTAAAATTTAGAGGTATCTAAAATAACAAAATTATTTATATATTCTAGGTACGAACTTCCAAATCAACCATCTTCCTTCACTCCAGAACAATTACAAGAAATAAGAAAGAGCAAAATGGCTCGCGTGATCTGCGACAATACTGACTTGATTGATACAATTCAAGTTTATCCAATGGTTCTACCTGACCATGAAATGTAATATTGAAGTTATTAAACTAGAATATAAATGCAATATATTTCATTAATTTTTTTTTTTTAATCCAGAAATCCGAGAGTGCCATGTAGAAGTGGAATATTGCCATCAATAGATCTATCCAAATGGGCCGATTATAGTCACCAAGGACCAACACATCATAAATATGTAAGTATTTTTATATAGCCTGAATGAATTTATGTTTTCGATATATAACTTATCTAAAGTAACCTTTTATCAAAAATATAAAAGTATTGAGCAAATAAAGTAGAAAATGATTGAGATTTCATGCTCACATACAAAAATATGCATTGGGTCAGCTCAAACCCAAAGTTTTCAAATGAGGCAATTTTTATATCAACATCAAAATTTACCATAAATTTAAAATAACGCTGGTCAACATTTCATTTTTGATATACAAATAAAATTTAGTTTTTAGAAACATCTCACAATTTTTTTTCACCAACAGCAAGTCTTCAATGATCTACCCGAAACATTAGTGAACTTCAAATAAAAGATCACAAATTAGTGAATTCCAACTGCTAGTAGCAGTAAATTTAAATGATGCGTAGAAAAGTTAAGTGTCAAGAATCACATAAGAAAAGGTAATAGAACTCCTGTTAGAGGTGATATTCTTTTATAATCCAACTATACCTCATATCAGAATAAAATTAGCTATTTCTGAACATTACCACTCAACATTTTTATAAGGTAACAACGAAAATCTTTTGCTGACAAATTATTTTAAATAAGAATATAGTATATTACTTGGATAGTTTGTGAAAACTGATTATTTTCTTGTTAGTCAAAATCAGTACCTTATCACATTTTTTTTTTTTTTAACAAATTCCAAAAGCAGAAAGAACTAATCTACCTACCATTTATACAATTTTTGACCATCGTCATATTCAACGTGTTGTATGCCATCCTGTATATATGTATGTATAGCAATAAGCACAAGTACCGAAAATCTTTGTCAATTAATCTAACACAAATGCTCATGATCAAAAATTGTATATATCTATACATAGTATTTATTTTAACATTTCTTCAGTAGATATAGCACATCGAACACATAGATTAAAATTGCATTGATTCATAAAATATTGCAACTTGGGTATTTAACAATAATTAATAATTGAAATACCAAAATATTTGAAATGTTTTAGCAGTTCTTAGCAGATTTTTCCTAAGTGAATTACTAAAATCAAAACTGAATTGAAAAAGACAACGTATTTATTCTCAATGCAATTGTAATCCAAGTGCGTCATGTGAAATATGTTGCATATTATATATTATAAGAATGAATTAAGATAGTAAGTAAAGATGGGGAAATAAATCAAAATCATATGTGAATTTCACATATAATCTTTGCCATTTGTATATACATTATCTTCATAGAGCAGTGTTCAATATATATGAAACATAATAATCATTCGATTTTTGAAGAATTGCCCCAAAATTTTTATTTTATGTACCATATAGTTTTTCTATACATTGAAAAGTGAAACAATTTGGATTGATAATATCCATAAGATTGTTCTAATGGCTTTACTAGTTAGAAATCTTTTGGAACTTATTGATCTTAAATGTTTTTGTTAAAGATAATTATATTTTTACACATCCTGTATATTAATTATTTGTAAGTGAACGTAATTTTATATTTTTATATGGAAATATATCTAATAAGAAAAAAAATGTGTTTAATTCGGAATTTGTGGATTTTTATTTATAGAATATGCTATAGCTGCACATAATTGATATACATTTCATGGCTATATATTAAAAACAGTAATATTTGGTAGACAATGAGATTTATGAAGAATGGTGCTAACAATATTACATAAAATTTAGATGTCCATATGTAATAGCAACTATGCAAGTTAAAGCTTGTAAAATCGGGTTGTTAACATAATATTTCATCTAAACTAACTCTAAATTATAATAAACAAATTTTTTCACAGCGGATTATACTGTCTTCTTATATCTTGTATTGCATGCCTAGATGTCCATATACAATATAAAGCAGCTATAGAAAATCCTACTCCTCCACCAATTGCACATTTCCTAAGTCCAGCTGAAATAATGTTTTGTTGTTTAAGGTCATGTTCAACGAACGTCTTCACTATAGAAATGATTAATTTTGTCCGAGTGCTCAATATTGTCACACCATGCACAGAAGCAGTAACCACAATAATAAACACTCTTTCGCGTTTAAACAAAATAATGTATCTTTCAGAACTGAATAGTAAGGCTCAGTATCGCCAGCTCATTATGTTCAATTTGAATTAATAAATGATATGCATTTCTCAATTGTAGCGTGCATAATAAACACTTTCACTAATAATCCATTTATAAATTTACGTTCATTTCAGTAATACTATTTACCAGCTTTTTGACAATTTTAAAGAAATAGCGACTATGTGTTTCTGAATTAGTGACATAGAATCACACAACACTTAAACTTTTTATATATGCAATAAATAAATGCAAATATAGCACTTATTGTGAAGATAATATGCATTAAAGTTCCTTATAACTTCAAGGATTATGACAAACACTTCACAAGTATGAGAAAAAAGATTTGTTTGTTAACATATATTATTGATATTGAAATAATATGCCAAAAATATGACTAAATTTAAATATATAGGAGAAAAGTAAACTAAAAGAATTAGTATTAAAACAACAGTTTAAAAATGGTCAACAATAGGATTGTTAAAATTATCCTAAATAGCATTGATTAAAATAACCCAATGTGAATTAAAAAAAAAAACGTATCATATGAAACAGTATTATAAATGTTGTTATATTGTAAATATTTCCAAACAAATGTTTGATGGTGTAATTTCATTGGTTAATATCAAAACTATACTTTGCTCTATTTGTTATTAAACAAAAATAAAGTATAATAATTTCTGCATAAAATTAAAAAAAGTATTAGGTATTAGGTTTTTAAAAAAAAGTATTAGGTTTAAGAATAGGTTAAGTTTAATTTCTAACCTGTTGATTTATAAAGTGCTCCTGTGGCTGTCGCAGCACCTAAAGTATTTATTTCGTCATCTTCTCCTCGAAGCCATGACAGTAGCACACCAAGTCCAGAATACATAACTGCTATCGTTCCTAGTGTATTTGCCGTAGCTGAACCTTGTTTCATAATGTGATTTAACATTCTATAAATCAAGAATATAATTAGATATTCATCATGGTAATCTGAGATAATGTGAGAATATCAATATTTTAAGGTGAAACAGTAAAAAAAAGTATAAATAAAATGTGCATGAAGCATAAGTAATTGAATAAATAATAACACAAACAAGAATGGTTAAAAACAAATACATTGAGTATGCAAATAAGTGAAGATGCTTTAATTCACTAGTGTTCAAAGATTTATGAAGCATTATACTTTATTATACATAGAGTAAGTATTATACATAGAATACCCGAAAGTTTCAAATGTTAAAAACGATTTTCATAAACAATATTTCTTAAACATATAATTGAAAACAATTCTATTAAAAGCACATAAAACACATAGAGCTTCAAATATGATTCAGTATATTGACCATAGACAAATTTAAATTATCATATACAATCATAATTCAGCAACTCTCGTAACTAAACAAATTACATAATCGCAAACAAAAACAAAACTTACTGTGTTCTTCGCAGCTTTCCAGTTTGACCCAACAATGTTGTAGCCTTCAGACCATTGTATGTACCAGCCATGCCTCCCAAAGCAGCTCCTATCATACATGATGATCCAATTTGCGAAAAGGCTAATTCAAAACGACCCCTTTGTCTACTAGCCCCTTCAGGGAAAATAAATTCGGGTTGGCTTGCAGGCAGGTAAACAGGATTATAATTTAGATACGGAGAAAGTTGATATGCAGTCTTTCCAGTTTTAATAGGAGCTGTAAGATAAAATTAAAGTTTAAGACAAGTATGTATTGGACACATAAGAGTTATCTACGGTGTATAGGTTAGTTTCGTCTATTACGCATAAGAGTAGAAAAAAGAAATTAATTATATCCATTCTCACCTGGCACATCTAAATTACTAGAATCTGATCCTAAAGGAGAAGATAAGTAGTCGTTCATTTTAATAATTATTAACTACAAACTAATCACACATTGAAAGAAATGTCACTAATGAACCGAACTTGCTAGAAGAAAGATCAGACGACAGTCAGCATGGGACTCACTGATGGGACAGTTGATTATTTAATTAGATTTTTTCACAATATTCTTACAAATCCTTTTTTTTCATACGCGTAAAACTATTATTTCATGTTTATAAAGTTTTAAATTTTAATATATATTCACATTAAATTAAATAAGATTTTAAATATGTGAATATACCTAGTAGCGTGATGTTGGTCGCACTGTTTGACAGTTCACCTTTGGCTAAGTTCGTGTCAGTACGAAACAAAAGCGCGATGTTCGAATTTCAACAGAGTTAATGTTTATTTTGTATGGCACGAAGAATTTTATTATAATACAATTATGATTTATTTGTAAAAACAATTAAACAACGATTTTGAATTTATAATGTGTGTGACTAAATATTATTTAACATATAATTCAACGACCTCATTTTGTAAATAATATCTCATCCAAAAATTATTGCTAAAATTAAATATTAAATATAATTGATAGTTATATTTAATATAGTTGAATTTTATTTTTTGATTTTATTTTATCTTTTACTGTTATTTATTTTATACCAACATTAACACTTAATGCCTATCATATGCTGACTAATAATGTAACCATGGATACGAAGTAGATGTACACAATTCTAAAATGTATAAAACAAGTCGTATTTTACCTTTTTTTTATATAATATAACTTATTAAACTATCATTAGTATATATTTTTGTAATTAAATAAAACCAGAAGTTATTTTAAGCTATGCCAAATCATGTCAATTACAAAAGTAGACAGTTTATTAAAACCTAGAACAATGAAATCAACCTTCAATAATAACAATGTAGATGATGACGATCTTTATTCTGGATACGATTCTATGCCACCTGAATATAATGTTAATGATTTAATTGAAGATGAAGAATTTCAAGAAGCCTTAAAATCTGTAACATGGGGCAAAAGGTCGGCCACACCAAAACCACCAGGAACAGCATCTTGGAGAATCGGAACCTCCGTATGTCCAGCTAAAAAAATCTAATTTGAATTATATAGATTTAATTACAATCCTAATATGTATAAAACAAGCAGTATTCTTCTTTTATACACATACATATTTCAATTTCAGTGTCAATGATATGAAACGCCGAGAAAATATATAATTAGCAAATCATATTTTCTGGCGAAAGCAATAACTTCTTGGGAAAATTAATAAATCAAAAAAATATTTAAATATTATTTAGTACAAATATAGTGGATACTTATCACAATTGTTTTTTTACTGATTTATTCATATAAGCTACATGTAAATAGCTTTTTTTCATTATAATTTAAAAAATGCGATTATGAAATGTAAAATAGTTGAAGAAATTTTATTCGCATTTTGTTACAAATTATTGCATGCTTTTAAGCATTAACCTTTTCCACTCGGATGCCGCCGGTCTGGCGACAAAATTTATATAAATCTCGGAATTTGCGAGTGGAAAGGATTAAAACGCCTTACCATAATAATCTTATCACACAGATGTCTCGGCTCGGTACTGGATTCGATTCGAGGCCAAAAACAGGCCGTTTGAATGTTAATTCGGCAATACGTCCAGCCACAGCAATTAAAGGAGCAGGATATTCGTCCAATACCGATATACACGATGCATACAACAGAAATCCTAAAGCATTGGGAATATTATCAGAGACTCCAAAAGAAGAAACGTAAAATTAAAATTTTAACAAATAAATACTTATAATATTATATTAATTTACCAAATATAATTGTCGAACAATATAACTTTGAATGTAACTTTTCATTATACATTTTTAGGCCAATGATGAAGTTTAAAAACATGGAACGCAAAATAGTAAAATTATTAGAAGAATGTTATGTTACCTGTGCTAAATCCAAAGGGTCCACTAGAACTAGAGGAAAATCTTCACCAGATATTCCTGACTACTCTGTAACTCTTGCAAAAGCTAAAGAAGCATCTACCTTAGAAAGAGCACTTATAAGAATGCAAGAAGAGGTTGGACATAAAGAACACAATTTTGATTTAACATATTCGGTACGTGATAAAAAATTTATTATCATTACATATTGAATCTTACAAGTTAGTATAAATCCATACATGAGCTCGCCCGTGGATAAGAGCTATGGAATCTGAAATAGAGTTTTCAGGTTTGATACCCACCTTGAATGGCCTGATGTTAAGTAGTAGTGACATGGGTTTTCAGTTAGAAATATAGTTAGAAATATGTTTCCAAGTGCAAACAAACTTTACTGGATTTCTGAATAAAAAAAAACATCACTGATATATAATAATGTCACATGAAATTGAAGCAACTGTTTGAGTTGCCACCTATAAAACTCACGTAGTTGGTTAAGTCAAGTCCACTAGAGGCTGAAGTTTTTAAATAAAAATATTCAAATAAAAATAGAATTAATACAAACCTACTCATTTAGGTAACTGTCTATTACAGTACAAATATATAAAATAGCTATTAAAAATTTAGATTAGTAACACATTAGTATTGAGCAGTAAGCTACATCTTAAGCTTAGCACTCCCATATTTAGCAGAATTCCATACATATCTTCATAATAACAATAATCACGTATTCTAGAACTAATGGTATAGAAAATTAAAATATCTGTAATTGTAAGCACATATAACGAGCCTAATTCAAAATAGCTATTTAAACCAGCAAACAAATATTCAAAATTGTTAATGATGAAGGACTTTTAATACTGTATGATGTTCAATATCTACGATATTTATACTTCACAAATTTAAAATCAAGCGCACTCTTTTAGAAAAAAAATCTATCACATTCAATTGAAATAATAATATTATATTAGAGAAACAATTAATATTTTGCGCAGGTTCTTTATAATATGGCTATGCAATATACCTACAATGAAATGTATGAAGAAGCCTTAAACGCGTACACTCTTATGACCAAAAATAAACTTTTTGCTAATGCAAATAGATTAAAATTAAATATTGGAAATATTTATTACAAATTGGGTCAATACAAAAAAGCTATTAAATTATACCACATGGCACTTGATCAAGTGCCTAATGCTCAGAAGGAGTTAAGGTAAGTTAATAGTAAAATAATCATTTATAATTTTTATGAAAAATGGTAATTGCACTTAATGCTTTTTAGATTGAAGATAATGCATAATTTAGCTGCTACTTTTGTAACTATTGGGCAGTATCAAGACGCTGCTACTAATTTTGAATATATCATGGCAGATAAAGGTGATATTAAGTCTGGTCTACGTTTAGTTCTTTGCTATTACGCTTTGGATGATGTGCCTAAAATGAAAATAGCATTTAAAAAATTACTCAATGTAGATTTGGATCTTCTGGATACAGATAGTTATATTGATCCAATAGTAAGTTTATATACTATTGTTCTATTTATTAGTTACGACAATTTGTTCTATTTATTAGTTACGATAATTGTTGCGACAGAAATCATCGATACGATTCTGATGCGAAAATTACATAAAACTGTATATATTTATTGATGTAAGTGTTTACCATACATATCTTGCTTTTAACTTTAAAATACATTGGAATCGCTTCACATTTTTATTTATAATTTGATTAGCATTAAATATAAAAACGCGTATAAACTTGAAACCATGCTACTACAATGACAAAATAATTTGTGGAATAAACTAATAAAAAATATTTGTGTTCAAATTTTAGGTTGATCCTGATTTAACAATACTCAAAGACGTTATTTTGTCCGATGAAATGAGTCAAATGGAGCAAAAACTGAAAAACGAAGCAGAGCAGTGTATATTATTAGCTGCAAAAGTTATAGCACCAGTAATTGAAGAATCTTATATAGATGGTATACATAAATATTAATTTATATAAAAATTGACAATAATATGAATTAAATAAAAGTTTGGTCGCAGGATACAACTGGTGCGTGGATAGTCTCAAAGAATCGTACTACGGAATTTTAGCAAATGAATTGGAAATGAATAATGCTATAACATTTTTAAAACGGAATGATATTCCTCACGCTATAGAAACTTTGAAGTTGTTTGAGAAGAAAGAAGATAAAATAGCTTACATAGCTTCTGTGAATTTATCATTTATTTACTTCTTGGTAAGCATTTATTTGAACCAACGATTTTATATAAAGACACAAGTAGAAAATTTACTAATGATGCATGGCTTAAAATTTACTCAGAATGTATTTGCTTAAGGCAAATTACTGGACTATTACATCCAGTGCCGAAAATTAAATTTAAAAACAAACTTTGCAAAACTTCGAAAAAATTGCATGACTTTTTTGAAAAATTTGATTTTTTTTCATATTATTATTATTATTTTTGTATTTTGATTTTTTCTTTGAATTTAATTTTTTTTTTGACATTTTTTGTAAGCAATCGCGCTGCATAGCTGATTTGGAGACGAAATATCAAAGCGCATAAGCGCCGCGTAGTCGTCAAACGTGCAAACATTGGTACGAAACCCATATAAATGTACACATTTGTACTTATTATAATCTTTATAAAATATCTGATAATACGATGTACATATGTCTAATGTTCAGTTTTAATCGCCAAATGGGATTGTTTTTTACTTTTTTTATTGGATCTCCGGAGACGTTGGACCTGCCTTTACAAAAATTTTACCAGTTGTTTATTTCGTTAATACAAGTAAAATCTTTTTCGAATTATTTAAATTGGACGCTCCGTTATCTCAAAAACTGAAATACCATTTTTTGCACTTTTTGCCCCGTATCTCCAAAACGGCTAGATCTGCCTCTGCCAAAAACTAATCAGCACGTCTCTTTACCGTTAGGAATCGAATGTTTTTTGAATTATTCAAATCGTCAACAAAAATTTGTATCTGCACACACACGCTCACACACACATACTTCCATTTTTCTTAGGTATGCCAAAATGTTCAGAAATCTTTGAAACGTAAAAATATATAAAAATGTTCATTTTCGATTTTTTTGCGATTACTATAACTAACCCTATGGAAAATTAAAAATATCAAGTTTTGGATTCTAATTTCAGCAAGGAAACCACGATTTAGCGATCAAATATACTACTCAAGCAAAAAAGTTAGATTCATACAGCGCCGCCGCCTACGTGAACCACGGGGCTTTGCAGTTTGCTCAAGGAAATTTATCCGAAGCTAAAGATGAATTTCAAGCTGCTTTATCAAATGATGCTGGTTGCATCGAAGCAATTTATAATTTAGGTAATATTTTTGTGATTTTGAAGTAATGACTCCTTAAAATTTTACTTATTATTTTTAGGTTTGTTACTAAAACATGAAAAACAGTACGATGCAGCATTAGATTGTTTTCGAAGATTAGAAATTCTGTACGGGTCTGACGCAGTGGCACCGGTAAGTAAGTAAATATTAAGTTAATTAAGAAAAATATATTAAACTCATATTAGCTTCTGTTCCAATTGGGGCACTTGTACGAGTTAAAAAATGATCCGGACGCAGCAAACGAATGTTTCATGCAGGTATGTTTATGTATCCCTATTTCTAATTTATTTAAATAAATAAAAAGTTCTAATACCAGTTATGAAGTTATATATATATACGGTAGAATATACTCAAAGTGAAAATTGAAACTATCGTAAATTGACTTTCTGAAATTCAGCTTATTATCAACCTATACTAGTATTAATTCTAAATCCAGAGAGATTTATTATTAGGCTTAATATCTTAAAATTGGCGTTCGCAAAATATTAATTTAATAAACAACGATATAAATAATAATTGTCTTAACATTATTTTATAGAATATTTTTTTATACTTTGTGGTATCCTCCTCGTTAAAAAAAACTTCTGATTAAATTTTTATAAATCGTGGACATACTCAAAATTCCTCACTTCCTAAAAGTAACTCAAAACTCCTCACTTCCTTTAAAACTTTTAGACCTGTTGAGTTTCTCTGCTATGTATATATATATAGATCTGTATATATGTATATATTTCATTTATCAGGTAATCGGATTGGATGCAACAGATCCTAGTGTATTAAAACACATGGGCGAAATGTTTGCACGTGATAATGATAAACAACAGGCTTATAACTACATGTCCGATGTAAGTAAATTTCACTAATATATCGAATTGCCTACTAACACATAATGCGAATAACTTATATCAAATCTAGTCTTATAGGTTTTATGCCGGTAATTTAGACGTAGTAAATTGGTTAGGTACTTACCACATAGAAGAGCAACAAGCAGAAAGGGCCCATTTTTACTTCGAGAGAGCTGCGATGTCATCACCAAATGTTCCCAAATGGTATCTTTTATCAGCAAGCTGTTATAAGAAAACAGGAAACTTTCAACAGGCACTCACTTTGTATACAGAATTACATCAAAAATTTCCTGAAAATATTGAATGTAAATAATTCTTAATATCTCTGTAAAGTTGTGCATAAAATATTAATTTTTATTTGGTTAAATTTAGGTTTAAAACATTTAATAGAAATGTGCGCTAGCCAAGGATTGAAGGAAGCCGAATTTTATAGCGCAGAATTGAAACGTGTCGAAAAATCAAAGGAAGCTAGAGAGCGTATAGGTAGTGCAAGACCGGGTGTGTATTTTTCCAAAAATACCCACATCCTGTTTTCATTTTTCCCCTTGTTACTCCTTACATTATTAATAATTTGAGGGTTACTTTATAAATTCTCAAAATTTACGTAAGATGAAGAATATAAACGAATACAGATCTAAATCACAATCACCTGGTAAAGACGATGATTGATGTAATTTTTTTTTTCACAAATCCCATTCCAAATTTATTTACCTTCTTGTATACGTTACTCACAAAGTTCCCTCTCTTTATAAAATACTGTTGTAAAATTTGAGGGTTATTTTATAAATTCTCAAAATTTACGTAAGATGAAGAATATAAACGAATACAGATCTAAATCACAATCACCTGGTAAAGACGATGATTGATGTAATTTTTTTTTCACAAATCCCATTCCAAATTTATTTACCTTCTTGTATACGTTACTCACAAAGTTCCCTCTCTTTATAAAATACTGTTAATATTATTTTATTTATTTTAACTACATAATTTCGTTAAATTTACAGGATCTAGACGTCAAGCACTAATAAATTCTGGACATAGTTTATCAATAGAAAGTTCTCGATATTCTGGCGATATGTCAAGTCGGAGTAGTAAAATGCAATACAATATTCATACTATTGAAAAACCGAAAAATACATTATTTGAAAATAAAGATAAAACGCCCAATAAATTAGTTTATGAAGATCCTCTAGGATCACCTCCTAGTAGACCGAGAACAGTGATGAAATTTGGCATCGAAGACACATTTAAAAATCAAGATATCAGCGACGATCTTTTGCCTACATAAACAATTAAACTTTATTAAGATTTTGTTAAACATTTGACTATAGAAATACTCCTGCAAAATAAATATAACATGTTTACAAAATAAATTATTTCATTTATTAAATAATTTAAGGGTATAATTGTAGCTCCCTGATTATAAATTATTAATTAAACAATTATGTATATCATTATATTTACACATGAGTGTGCGTGACAGAGATAATATTTATATCCTTTACAAAAAAGTATATAGAAAGGTAAATGGATATTACACAGTGAAGATAAATATGACTTTTAGAACTATATTTAAATTTATAAACATTATAAAATAATTATAAATTTTAAGCGTCATATTTGAATTTTTACTAAAATTACACATATTTACATCGATTACACAGTGATGAATGTATATTTCGAAACACCCAACACGGTTTGCGTACCACATGAAGTAAATTTGCTAATTATAAGGGTACCATTTTCTTTATGTTTATTAGTAAATATTATTAACATTTCAGATTACCATTCGAAGTAAAACATTGAATACATACTGACTTTGTAAATGTGCTTATATTTTTCTGCAAACTGTCGAAAATCCACCACTGTAATTATTATAGATAATAGATAAGATATAAATATTGTACTCATTAATCAGTAATACCATATTTTAAATCATATTACGTGAAACACTAAAATACATGCAACTATATCAATATCTATTATTGTTTTTTGTAAAGGATAACTATATCAAAATACATATACATGATTCCGTCATTCCATTTATAATCGGTCTTCACTTTTTTTACTGAAATATATCATCTTTTGAAATGGAATATGTGTTTGTAGGTATAAAATCAATATTAAATATAAACAACTTATCCGATAGAGCAAAATTTTAACAACGTTTAAAAACTTTTCGTATTATATAATGAGTCTTAAATGAGATTGACGATTACAAGAAGTTATGCCACGTAAATACATCAGAATCATCATGAAAAAGTGAGATATTGTTCCAATCAAAAAGGCGGGAATTTCGATGTGTGAAACATAGAAATATACTTTATTCATGAATAACTAACTAGACATTGTAGCATTTAAACAGTTTTTTAATAAATATTTTTGACACATTCATCATCATCGTCGTGATAGCAATCATTTTCGTAATGATACAAAATTCCATAAATTTTTAAATATTTTTTTGTGTTTTTTATTTATTTATTCTCACACCCTGTATTTAAGAAAAGTGGTAATATCTAACATCTTGAATTAATTACATCTTTGTAATCGGAGAAACAACAATCCTTAAAAATGAAAAGCCGGAGAAAGACGGAAAGGTAGAGAGAGTTTGTTATTTGTCATTAAAAAACTACTGCACGTCGTCGAATTGGTTAAAAAAAGTCTTCTTTGGACCAAAAGAAGTAAATAATGAGGCACTTGGTAGAGTTTTAATAGTAATAACGGTGGCGATGGCATTCGGATGGCGTGGCTGCCTTTGCGGTGCTGCTATAACCGTGGTTCAGCGCGAGATCTTGTTTCTTCGGCGGCTGCGTCATGCGCCCGCTGCATGCGCCGTCTGCGCTCCTGCTGCAGCAGCTGATGCGCCGCCAAGTCCATTTCCTCGCGCGTCATGTCCAAGGCCTCTTGCATCTCGCGCGACGTGTATCGCACGAAGTCGGGGTCGCAGTACTTCCCCAGGCCCTGCTCAGCCAACACCTGCACGCAAGTCATGTTATTTATTGCAAAAATAATTAGAACCCAAAACGCATCGTATGAACAATATTATTAATTTTATATAATTTTTTGTAATAACTGTATATACATTTTTGTCGAATACATTCAGGTACTTGCATCTATCAACTGAGCAATATTGTCATGTCCATTATCTATATTATTAGACCTTTGTGAAACAAATACAATTGTTAGAAAAAAAATCACACATAGAATAGCAGCTGTCCCAAATTGATATATTTTTGTCGTATTTCTATGAACTCAAGTGGTTACGAATCTAATTGAAGCATTACTCGTGTATATAAATTTGTATGTTTCGGATGAGTATCTTTGAAAAATAATTATTCTGCCTAAACAAATTTTATATCATATAATTATAATGCACGCAAATATCAGGTTGGCAATTAAGTAAGTGCGGCTTTTTGTTAGAAAATCAGTGATATTTTTTATAGAACTAAATAACTTCATTATGAAATGCATTGTTTTGTTCACAGACTTTTTGTGATATTTATCCCACTTTTGGTTTTCATTAGCAAAACCTGAATTAGAAACAATTTGACACCATCATTATTATTGAAGTTTTTTAAAGGAGTTTTGTGAAGATCGAAAATAAAAGTAATAAGATGGTGTAAGGTCAGAACTATATAGTGAATGTGGAAAAACATCCCAACCAAGTTCCAATAATTTTTGCCAGGTGGCCAAAAATGTGTTTTGTCAATAATTGAATAATTCAATTCGTTTTTTTCAACTGCTTTGTTTAATTTGGTCAGTTGTTTAATGTCAAAATTGATTGTTCGATTGGTGATTACACTTCAAAGGAGACAATTTTTAATCAACTTCAACTGTACGACCACCATTTTTAATTTTTGAGTAAAAAACACCAGAACGAAATTTGGCAAACCAATTTCGATACTGCCCTCTTTTTAAGGCTTAGTAACCATAAACTTCGCATTACCTCTTGCAAACTTAACATGCATTTTTACCAAAGTAGACAATTCATTTTTAATCATCTTCAAAGTGTACGACCAACGTTTTACATCTTTTAGTGAAAAAAACACCAGGACAAAATTAGTCAAACCAATTTTGACACTGCCCCTTTTTTAAGGCTTAGTCACCATAAACAACTCATAACTTTTTGCGAGCTTAACATGCATTTTTACCGAAGTAGACAATTCATTTTTTAATCAACTTCAACTGTACGACCACCGTTTTTAATTTTTGAGTGAAAAAACACCAGAACGGATTTTGGCAAACCAATTTTGACACTGTCCTTTTTTAAAGCTTAGTCGCGCTAAATCAGTATAACTTTTTGCGATGTTAACATGCATTTTTACCAAAGTAGACAATTCATTTTTAATCAACTTCAACTGGACGATCACCGGTTTTCATCTTTGAGTAAAAAATACACCAGGACGAAATTTGGCAAACCAATTTTGACGCTGCTCCTTTTTTTAAGTCTTAGTCACCATAAACAACGCATAAATTTTTGTGAGCTTAACATTCTTTTTTATCTTTGCATCAATTAAAAAGCAAAGTTTGACAAAAATTTTCGATTTGATTTTCCATTTTTCAACGACGCCAAACAAAAATTAAACAATCAGTCAAAAAACAATTTTCACAGATTGCTAGCTAAATTGTGTACTATCCAATAATAAAAGATGTTAAAAGGTGTTAAATTTCGACTACATTAGCAAACCTAAAAAAATAATTGAAACCATCTAGGAGTGAAAACCGCACTTACTTTGTTGCCAGCCTAATATGTAGTATTTTACTGTAGTATTTTATCAAGTTATGCATGCTTTATTTCTCATAAGAATATTTACAATAAAACTATTTTTGCAATTTAAGGGGGTATTCTACTGTAGAATTTTGAAAAAAATCGAATTTTTTTTCATATTTTCAAAAATGAATATTAAATATGTCATTTAAAGAATTTTTCAAAATTACTATTATTTCCTGAGTTATAGCCGTTTTAGTGACGTGGCCTCGGTTCGGGTCCGACTTGTCTCAAAACTTTGAACGCGTTTTTCTCGGAACTACTTTTTTCGAGCTGGCGGTAAGGATATCTCGAGTTCTAATGAACCGATTTACTTCAAATTTGGAGAGGATCTTCTCTATACATAGCTCTAGCGCGTGGACCTTGCCCAAAACTATAACTTTTCATTTAGTATTTTTAAAAAATTCGGAATTGTTAAAAAAAACATGAAAAAAAATAAAAAAATTTTCAAACTGCCGCCATACAAACAAAATTTTTTTTTAACTTATCCAAGGGTCATACGATAGCGGCATCTATAATAATTAAGAATTCATCTATTTTTTATGTTTCAAATCACCAGGAGGGTTGGAATCATGCACGCCAGGACACTCTCTTCTTTTGAGCCCCCACTTTGACTGCTTATAACTTTGTGAATTTTAATTTTTTTTCTCTAATAATTTTTTGTGTAATAATAAAATATCAATAAACAAATGATAAAAAAATCTATAGTAAAAATATTATTTGTTGCCTTTATACAGCGCTTCAAAAACCGGGCGAAATTCATGCCACTACAGCAGAAGACTCCCTTAAACTGAATAAAATAGATGCTTTCCAGTATAAAGTTTTCAAATATTTTGTTTGTATTAATACGCTATAGAACCATAATTTGCCAGACCATATCAAAATTATTGTTTCTGGTACAGCTTAAATGCTATACCCAAAAAACGTATATTTCTAAAAATATAATTTCCCTAAATTTCTTACCCTGCCGACAAGACTCTCCGCGGATCCGATCACCTCGAACGAGTCGGGCCTGCGGTCCGCGGGACTGCCGGGCATCGAGCGCGCCAGTCGCTCACTCCCTGCGCTGCCATTGGGCTCTCCTACCGGCGACACTGAAATATGTCACGTAACCCCATGGATATCACAAATAACATATGCAATTCAAATTTATCACCAAAACACATACACTAGGTCCTCACAAATCAAGCTATACAATACCGAGAAATTTTACTCTAAAACTTTTACAGTACCTACAGATTTTCTCGTCAAACTAACCAAAGATAGTAATTTATTTTTAGTACAAAAACTGAAAACAATTTGAATGAAAATATCAACAATTTAGTTGATTATAGTATTTATGTATTCATACTAATTTTGTTTTTTTTTGGCATCAAGATTTTCATTTAAAAATTTATTTCAAGAACCTAATATTTACCGGAGTTAGTTGCAAAAGTTAGTTATATTTGCAAAAGTAGCCATACTCATAAATCTTAAAAAGTTTTAAAATATGTAAACATCTCATTTTAAGAAATTTGATTTATCATGTTGATTTGTTCAGATCATTTAGTTCAAATATGCAATGTATTGTATAAATGCTGAGAGTATGCAAATAACACGTAATTAATTTTAAATACACCTCAATGATTTAGTATTTGGTATATTCTTGCTTAATTTTAACATGCATCATGCCAAACATTTTCTGTAACATTCAAATGCATCAAACATTACTCGCTAACATGCTTGTTCGGTAGTAGTTTCGTTTAAAGACTATTGTTTACAAAAAAAACAATAATAAAATAGTATAAATGTATTACGACATAATGTTGTATCATATAATATACACATATGTAACAATACTTGATTAGCATTTGAAGATCTAAAATACAAATGTAGTAGTAATTTAAACGCAAAGTCATATATGTGTGGTTTATTCATATGAGATACCTAACGATAAAAATGAGTTGCATGGAAGTGTGATGAGCGATTTTATTATTACATTTTATGAGAGAATACATTTGAAGAAATATGTTTTAAAATTTTGAAAATAATAAAATTTCATACTTTAGTAGCAATGAATAGTTTCTTTTTTCTTTAATTTGTGCAGTACTTAAATTTATAGTCATAATTGCTAATGGTCTAGTAAATTTCATTCGTGATTTTGTCCCGGTTCAAATATGTGCACAACACATTTTATTATCAGGTATCTCCAAAGAAGAGAATTTTATTCATTAGTAGTCAAATTACAAACAGATCGAGCGGTTACGACGTTTAGAAGAATTGACACAAGAATAGCGGCGAGCGGGGCGACCCGGTCGACAAAGCCATGCACGCGTTTTGACATTAAATAATACAAATAAAATATTGCCCGTCATCAGTTATTTGTTACCATGTTTAGTGACAATCACAAGAAATATATTTAAATTAAACTCATTATATTGTTCCAAGAGTAAACTAATTTCGATGCTAATTGGAGTATTTTATGCTGATACGCCATCGATTCCAAAGTTCCACATAAAGCTCTAAATTCTATACACTCAATATGATCTCAGAATATTTATTTTGCTCAAGCAGCATGCGTTTTTCGTACAATATTTTAACGCCAATTGCGTCATGCACGTTTAGAGTGAATCAGATTTTAATAAGATATTTGCTGGTGACATGAAACTTTTTGTCACATTACAGCCCATAGAAATTTTCGAAAATTTCCTAATATGAATGGCATGATACAATCGGCTAGTGATATTAAAATTACCAATAACTCTTATTATATTGTTTGAAAATCACAGCTGTTTGGCGTAAGTTGGATTGGATTAGGGTATGTTTACGATTAGACAACTGACATTAATAGCGGACATCTGACAGCCATTACGTCACGGTGCTTTAAAGAGACAGTTAGATTAAGAGAGATAGATAGTTAGTAAGACATTTAAGATAGCTAGAGAGATCGGAGCTGCCAGTCTGACTGTCTGACCTCTGCCGTGAAATGAGGCCCTGTGGTTCAGATGCAGTCGCAGTCTCTCCTTGGGGTCTTCTCCGTTCGGTGGCGTCGCGTTTTCTGGAAGGAAGCCGGCGGCAGCCATCGCCTGCGCTTGGGCGAGACGCAAGCCGCCGGCTACGCCGCGACGCGACGATCGACCGCCACTATCCGACAACTTGCTCGACGATCTGAAGTGCCAACGATTTACACGGTCACAGAGGTTGCCACGTGAGTTATAAAACTACTGTATCATTTTATGGCACTTCACGCGAAGAACATAGATAATCTCTAAGATTTTGTTTTCATTCAATTAAATTTCAAGTCACCAATTAGCACGACTTGCAAATGATTATTTACTTGCATATTCCACACCTATATCATGTGTTTTAATTGTATCTCATCAAAATAATGAAATAAACCGTTTTCAATACATAAAATCATAATTGCCAACTTGAAAAACTTTAATAATTGATTCTCAAATATATACATTTTGCTATACCAACACTTTATTAATTTTAAACTGATGTTTAAATATTTAAACATATTACTCATATAAAAATAATTGTATGTGGCAACCCCCAAATTTAATAGCGAGGAGGGTAATTCAGGTTTACATATGGGGTGCAGTGTCGCGATTAAGTGGATGTTACAAGACAAGTTGTGGATTGTTATACAGGTTTGTTTGCATGTGAGGACTATCGCACAACACATTTTCGGGTCGCCCAAACTCTGTTACACTCAAATAAGTAAAATAAATCAGAAAACCAAACTGAATAATATACTTAAACTTATAAAAACACTTTCAAATATTAGGCGATTCAAAAAGAAATAAACTGTAATAAAAATATTGAGAAAATTGCGCTTCTCCATAGAGTTGTTAGCGTAGCGCGCTTTGCTTACCGTTATAATTTGGATGAAGTAAACCTCCCTTAACCGATTTGCTGAAACGTAAACGAGATATCCAATATTAATGACCCGATACTGCTTCTTCATTATTTTAACACACTTGATATGTTAATCGTTTAACGCATGCCATATATTGCTGACAATAAAACTATTTAATATTTCCTTATAAATATCTAGATCATCAGTTATTATATGCCATGGCTAACAATGCATATATCTATGTATTTTTTTAATTTCATATTTAAGACATGATGTTAAAATATTATATGTAATTGAAATGTTATTGGTAAAAATGAAAACAGAATCGGGTCACAATTTAGTATACGCCGTGCGCATTTATCGTGTGTGCTTGTTCATGTGATGGATCCATAGGGATGGGCCGCGGTTTATTATCGTTTGTTAATTTGATATAGAAATGTAATGAATTGAAATGTTTTAAAAGATAAATACAGTAAAGCACCAAATGTTGTATATTGACACCCAACAATATGCCATGCAAACTAAATATAAAAAACAATAAATGAACTTATGAATATATTTGTTAGAGCAGCTTTCCATTAGTGCAGAGCAGCACATGTAAGTACTCAAATTATACTTATTTGATTTGCAAGTTTTTAAATGTGTGAAAAAACTTTATTGGCATTAATTTTTAATAATATAAGCGCATAACATATTGATGGTATAGAATATATACACATGTATTTTCGTTAATATACGTACTAGATATATATATATATATATATATATATATATATATATATATATATATATAACAATAAATTTGTACCTATTTGCATAGAAATTAGTTTATATAACTATAAATAATAATATGTTAATATAAACGGCATATTTTTAAATTTATGTATGTATCAAATTATCCGTATAATATTTTCATGAATGTTACAATAATTTTGTTCTTTACTTATTCATGATTCATTTTCCATCAGAAATGTGTTGAAAACCCTTTGCAAAAACTAGTGCTTAAAAATTCTGATGATTGTTTAATATTGCTGTTTTTGTTCAGAACAGAATCAGTTTATCGAAAAAAATATTTTTCAAGTTAAAAAATATCTTTAAGCTAAATTTTTGGTTTTATCATAGAGGGTAAATAGAGAACAAATGTGCTTTACCCTGTTTTAGTGTTATCCACACTCAAAAGGGGGTCTACTACTACTGTACCCATATTTGTCACTCTTTTTAAAGAACTTATTTTTTACTATAATACACGTACTTTGAACGTCTAATAATTTTTCAATATATATTTTTATGGAAACGTATTTGTGATCTAGTTGAGAATCAATTTTCTACGCGTTTATTTTGTTTTCATTTCATTTATTCAAATTAGTCAGGTTAATCTTTTCTATATTATATATTTTTATAAATTTTATCTAGAATTAAACCCAGGGGTGAATTTACGTGCTACAGTTAGTGGCGCCCCTATGGAGTGCGAGAACAATTAAAATTGAAGTAATCACAAAGTGGTCGTGCTTGCGATCTATTTATACTTCTTTTATCTATGGGTTTTACAATAAAGTTAAATTAAAAATATTTAATTCGATAAACTGACTGTTTGCTGATCGCAAAGCTCTAAATTATTGAAAAAATTAACTAACTTATTAAATACTTGAGTTGCAAATGAAAATTTAAATATTTTATCTAATAAAAACTAGTGCAAACAAACTTTTGTGCCTTGAAATATTCAAAAGCGCACAAGTCGGTAAAAAATATTTGACTATATTGTTAAATTATAATAACTTTTGACTCACTCCGTAGCCGGCCTATCGGCTCCGTTGAAGACAAGCGGCCTCATCGGAATGATTTCCGAATTGGCGCTGGCGACGCTCTTCGCGACGTGATTCATGCCTTCGGTGACCGCCCGCTGGAGCGTCCCGTACGGAAGATAATCGATGGAAGACGCGGGCGAAACTTTGATGTGCGTCGAATTCACCTTTAGCGATCGACCGTGACCGCGGCGCATCGACGACCACACGCTTCCGAAAAGCGTATGGTTTCTCTGAAAATGGTAAGGTAAGTATAATCTTAGTGAATTATATTGAGTTAATATTTAGATATTTTGTATATATACGAGGGTCTGAAAGCTTTATGACCTCAACACAGTTTTCAGTATGTCTCGTCGTTTACATATATTTTGTAAAACCTGTTTTTGAGCTAATTTGTTTTTGTATGATTTTATTTTGAAAACTAGCGGTGCACGGCAAATTGCTGGAACTCCCGTACCGAAGATTTTAAAAAAGATTACAATCTTTTTAAAACTAGATTTTTGGGAATTTTGAAATTCTTGAAGTTTTTGAAATATCTTTTTTTATTTTGAATTTGTTTGATAATTGTGAACTTATTTTAAAGCAGTCGCGCTGCGTAGTTGTTTTAAATAGTTGGATTTGCAAAGTTTAATATACTAATGGCTTTTAACTTTTTTTTACTATATTATTATTAACTTCACGTAGGGTAAGTTATTGTAATGGGCCGAAAATCGAAATTGAAAATTTTTACATTTCTCGACGTTTTGAAGGTTTCTGAACATTTTGGCATACCTCAGAAAAAATGGATGTACGCGTGTGTGTGTATGTATGTATTGATACAAATATCTAGTCACGTTTTAGGGCGCACGGATCAACCGATTTGAATGGTTCAAAAGACATTCGATTCCTATTGATAAAGAGATGAGCTGATCAGTTTTTGGCAAAGGCAGGTCCAGCGGTTACGGATATAAAGAACAAAGAGTGCAGAAAATAAAAATCGAGTTTTTGAGAGAACGGAGCATCCGATTTGAATGTTCTAAAAAAATTCAATTAGTAATGATTGGGAAAAGTGTTTATCAGATTTTGGAAAAGGCAGACCCAGCGATTTCAAAGATACGGAGCTAAATGTGCAAAAAATGGGAGTTTTTGAGAGAACTAAGCGTCCGATTTAAATGATGCACTTTCTGCTTGTCTTAACAAAATAGTTGATTTTGAAAAAAAAATTTTTTTGTTTAAACTTTTTTTTTTCAAAAAAATTTTTTTTGTATATCGAAAATAATATAAAATAATATTTTATTTTTAATTCTGACTAAAGTTCTAATATACTTTGAACAAATCATTTCAATTTGCAATTCAGTTTATATAATTATTATAAATATTAGACAATGTTACAATATTAATAATAATCTATTTCAAAACATTCAGTATTCTTCGAACACTTCGTTACGGTACGGAAAGTTCCAGCAATTTGCCTTAAGGCACGATGCCATACACCCAACTAGTTTATATAAAATTTAAATATATTTCTAATTTTATTACAATCTTTTAGGCATTTTATGTGGCAAAATTTGTTTATATTATGTCATTAATTTCAATTTCAAACTTCGAAGACCATGCAGTCTAAATCGTATCTGTGCAAAATTCCTTACTCGTACCGGCTTAATAAAGAGCGTTTTATGGTTTTTGTTGATGAATACGAATGAATTATGAATGATGAGTAATGAATAAATTCAATTCTCCTAAGTTTTTGCTCAAATTAGAAAGCACTAAGTGGTGTTTTCATGAACTGTTCCATCTCCATTCTTAGCAGGCAGAGACTTAATTTTATAAATACAATTCTTACTTTCATGCATTATTTTTTTACATTATCTGTTACTTTAATAATTATGTTTGACTTGGTAACTAATACCTAAAGAGAAGTTTTTCTCAGACTGAAATTTATATAGTTTTTTACGACAAAGATTATGGATGATAGACTAAGGCACAAAGTTTATTATAATTCAATTACTAAATAAATAATTTAAAATATTTTCCAAGTATTTTTCAGTAATGCTAATATAAGTGCGTATTGAAATTACCCTATGCATTGGTTCAGGATTGTCGTCTATCAGTTCTTCTAGATTTCCAGAAATAGCTCTCTTCAACTCCGGTCCGGCTTCGTGCAACGTCCGCAGGCCAGCCTGCAGCGTTACAGTATTATGTGATTCTTTGTCACCATCCTTTAATTCTTGCTCTTTCCTCTTCTTGAATCTTCTGAAGTAATCCTGTATGAGGAAAGTTGCATAGAATTTACCTACAGTAACCTCATCATCCACTCCTGGTGGCGGCACTACTTGATCAAGAAGCTTAGGACTCGTTCGCTTCCAGATCTTTTTAATAACTGCTCTCAGTTCACCGTTTGCGTCGTCGATATTGCCTTCCGTTTTAATTTTGAGGGAAGTTCGAACAACCGCAAATAGAGTTGCATTAAAAAGCACAGTTCCATCGCTGTTTAAAGGCATGTTCATAGACACAAGTCTTTTGCAAGCAACACGATGCGGACACAATTTACCGAAGCCGAGTGGCGGAGATATTTTTCTCAAGAGCGTGACAACGTCCAAGTGTTTGATTCGGCCTTTTGCATCTGGATCATATTCACTCCATAACCTGATAAACTCGTCGAGATGATGTGGTCCCAAAATAGACCAATCACGAGTCAGGTAATCAAAATTGTCCATAATAACAGCCACAAAAAGATTGATAATCTAGAAATTGTATTTTTAAGTAAAAAAGGCATACTTTCAAATAGTTATTATTATGAATAAGATACTCACTAAAAAGGAACACAACACGTAAAAGGAGATAAAATATGGGAAGGCAATATTTGAACCGCATCCTTCTTTGGAATCTTTATCATCTGATCTTGGATCGCATTTCACTTCTCCAGGGCGTGATGAACATGACATCATAATCTCTTGCCACGCTTCACCTGTTGCAGATCTAAATAATACAAGCACTGCTTGAGGAAAACTCTGGAAGTGATTGTTTCTCGTGATGGCAGTATCGTCATCCATTGCTATTTTACCAAAAACCTGAAATAAAATCAATGTAATAACACACATACTTATTGAATTTGAGAGTCGTAAAATTTTGCATAACATACCTGCATTCCAATAACAGCATAAATAAAAAACAGCATTACAATTAACAACGCTACATATGGAAGAGCTTGAAAAGATTTTATGAAAGTCCACAGTAACGTCCGTATACCTTCGCCTCTACTCAGCAGTTTTACCAAACGCATTACACGAAATAATCGGAAGAAATTGATTGATATAAAACCAGACCCGGGCTAAAGAATGAACATAAGCATTACTTCATAATATTCAAAAACAAAAATAATTGTAACTTCATTTGTTATGTCGGTTCTCAAGGAACGTTAGTGAGGTTGAAACGTTAGTAAAACAACAATTGTGTTAAAATATTATTTTATCGTATTAATTTGGACATATTAACTTATTAGTAAACATTATTAGTCAACACGCCAAGACCTCATACACGTTCTGCAAAAACCAACCTTGACGCCGTTTCTTACATTGACTTCGGAGTAAACGATATCTATGAAACTTCCTAACACTATAATAAAATCGAATACGTTCCAAGCATCACCAAAGTAATTCTGAAAAAAAAAATCAATGGGTATATTAATAATAGGCAAAACTTATGGTTCTAGTTGAAGCTTTAACTTGTAAAGAAAGTATCATCACGTTCAAAAAGTAATTTCATTTTTCCCGAAAAAAATGAATTGTTCGTTTTGCGTTGACCACAGACCTAAAGTTGAAATTCTGTTCTTTTCAGACATAATTCAAATTGTTATACGGAATGAGCATGATTGCAGTACGCCAGAGCAAAAACCAATTTGAAATGCTTTGATCTGACTTGTTTGATCAAAACTACAATACGATCGTGAAGTCGGTATTTAGTGAAATGTCATAAAATTTAACAGCTTTGGCTGTACTGGCTTATTGAATCTTTGGTAATCAATTTTAATGTTTAAGTTTTCAATATTTTTTAAAATAGTAAAGCTTACCTTAAATCGAAATGCTGCTAGTTTGAAGACAAATTCGAGTGCAAAAACCGCTGTAAATATCATATTTAGAACATCCAACGCATGGGTGTACATGTCCGGTTGCCTATGGAACTTCATCGCTAGTGTTATTGTATTTATCATAATCAATATAAATATCGTGTATTCGAATGGTTGCGACGTGACGAACCACCAGACTTTATATTGTATTCTATGCTTCGGAATGTAGCGTCGTACAGGTTTTGCTTTTAGCGCAAACTCTATGCAATTCCTCTGATTTTTATCCAGCTCGCAATTTTTATATTCCTGCTCACCCTCATTCTGGAATGTGACGATAACGAAACCGACGAATATATTAACCATGAAAAACGCTATTATAATAATGTAGATTATATAATATGCTGCTACAATTGGACGGTAGTTGTGAATGGGCCCGACGTTTTCGTTATTAGAATCGATCGAAACGTAGAGTAGGCTGAAATTTAAATAAATCGTGAATTAAAAACGATCAAAAATAAATAGAGTATTTCATTTTTCTTATCCATCTTACTTTGGCCAGCCTTCAAATGTTGAAACGGTAAACAAAGTCAGCATAGCTTTAGCAACATCATCAAAATGAAATTTGTTCCTGATCCAGATCCGTTCACGCATTTCGGGCTTATTTATGTCACCATCTTCAAATACTACATATGTACCCCTTAGGAATAAATATTTAAATAAATGATTAATAAATTTTAACATTTTACTAGAAGAAAATAATTGTACGTGAAATAGTCAATTTGGAGTAGCGGTTATACGTATATTGCATTGCTAATACTTGTAAGTTAAACTTGAATTAGACACGTTTTGTTAATTACAACATCAACATACTTTTTTAAAAACTTGGACTCACGTTATATTAATGATCTATTAACTAAAGTAATATAAATAAATGTCGACACCAGATGGTAATGCAATATTATCAATCTTCCTTGAAAATCGCGTTTTATTGAGTCGATCAGTAATTGAGCGCACACTAAGGAAACAAAGTGTCATTATATCATTTAATATTAATTACATGTATCTTGACACCCTTAATGTTGATAAGTTTAGCTTTATTTCCTTTCTATAGGGTAAGTTATTGTAATCGTCCAAAAATCGAAATTGAAAATTTTTGCATATCTTCACGTTTTGAAGGTTTCTGAACATTTTGTGTATGTGTGTGTAAGTATGTATGGATACAATTTTTTGTCCACGTTTTCAGGCGCACGGATCAACCGGTTTGAATGGTACAAAAATTCGACTTCTATTGATAGGGAGATGTGCTGATTAGTTTTTGGCAAAAGTCGGTTTAGCCGTTTTAAACTTACGGAGCAAAGAGTGCAGTAAATAAAAATAAAGTTTTTGAGAGAATGATTCAAAAAACATTTAATTTGTAATGATAGGGGGAAGTCGTTTTGGAGATACGGAGCTAAATGTGCAAAAAAGGCAGTTTTTGAGAGAAATAAGCATCCGATTTGAATGATTCAAAAAACTTTCTGCTTGTGTGGCGAAAAGATTGTCGAGAAAAGAAAAAAAAATCAAATTTTTTGTTTTTAATTTCCAAAAATTTTTGAATATCGAAAATAATTCAGATTTTCAACATTTTAATTTGGTACGGAAAGTTCTAGCAATTTGCTTCAAAACGCGATGCGATACACCAAACACCACTAGTTTTATATTTGTATAGACGTTCTCATAGATGTTTATGACAAGAGCTTATGGCGAAATTATCTATGTAAATCTTTGTAGTTACCATCCAAGTTTTTAAATATTTTTGTTGCTTAACGCTATTCCATATTAAGATTGACTTTCCTATATATTTTATTTTTATATAAATATAATAAAAACTTACTGGCATTCAGATTCAATCATTTTGGATCCATCGGAGCAGTAGAAAAACTTTCCCTGTACAACATATCAGAAAGCTTCATTGATAAAAATACTCATTATTCATTAAATCACATGTTGTTGAAATATTAAAATTAGTAGTAGCATGCAAGCAATATTGATAGTATATACAATGGTTTTGTTATTTATTGCCACACAATAACTATAAAATAGAATACACGCATGTGCAACAAACTATTTACATAACTTGTAGTCATAACCAGCAATAGATGAACTCGACAGTACCTGAATGCCTCATACGAAGATTCATATCCGCATATAAAGAATTCAACAAATTACATTAAGTGGCTCTCAATCTACGTACATATAAGGGAAATAACTATGTCTACTTAATTTACGAAGATATAAGGCTGACTATTGTATTAACTACTGTTTGGGCGTCATAGCGATGTAGAACAAAACACGTATCGGGAGGAACAACGTCTGAAGGATATTGCTTTGATAAGTGGATTATTCAAGCCCTGAGAATAATTGGAAGATCCGAATAATCATAAGTGGTGAAATGTAAGAAAGAGGTGCAATTTCATTAAAAAAGTAAAAAAAAGTAAAACCAGTTAATTACTCATATATTGAAGAGCAAGAATTTTTCATACAGTAAAAACTTTTTCTGTCTATTATTTCACCACCTACAATTACGCAAACACTTCCTTTATTCTCAGGTCTGAAATCATCTTAATAAAGCAAAAATTTATGGTATAATTTGTATTTTAACTGTGTTTATACTTTTACATATTGCATATTTGCCTTCTAGTTGCAATACAATTTAACTTATCTATAAGTAGGTATGTGTTGTAATCCACAAATCTGGTATATTTAGAGGTATAAAAATGCTAATATTATATACATAAGGCTTTGAATTGAAGTCAGTATTAAACTAGAAAGTTAAAATCGTAAATGCTTAAGAGGCACACCTAGAGTGAAATTTTCAATTTTTCCATATTTCTATTCTATCTTAAATAGTTTTTGAGTTACAGCCATTTAAAGAGTATATATATATATATAATATTAGTATAACGATCATTTTATCTTTAAACGCGTTTTTCTCGAAACAGCATTTTCCGAATTTGCTGCAGCGATTACTCAAAAACAAATGATCCGATCACCATCAATTTTTTTTACATGTTCTATATATAGTTTTCCGTGAAATAAACTATCTATTTTTTGATCGGATCAAATTTCGAATTTTGCCAGTCCAAAAACGACCAAAATTTTGGGTAAAATTTGACTTTTTTTTAAAAAACGCCGCCATTTTGTCAATTTTTGATTTTTTTTATTGTAGGTCATTTTACAGACAATATTATTTAGTTTAACGAGATTTTTTTTTAAATTTTATCCACGTAGAAGGCCGGAATCACTGCAGCAGTGAAGGGCATTTTTTCGCGCCGTTGGAGATCGACGATAACTTAAAAAGTATTTAATTATTTTCTTCAAAAATTTACTATGTATTTTTATAACATGTATAAATATATTCTTAGAATTTTTAAATGATTGATAAAGTATTTTTTTTAATATAAATTCCCAAAAATCACCTTTTATACACTAGTTGTGCCCCTTAATTAATTAAACTATACACGTGTTTTTAGTCACAATGCAATTAGTTGATACGTTTTGATGTTATTTTCAATACAACATTATAATATTATTACAACGGTATGAATTTTAAAAAAATCTTATTTTTATGGGAAGAAAATTTATCATTATAATTTGAGTATTTTAATAAATAAGTAGTAAAATTTTAGGTTTTGAAAGTGTAAAACATGATACTTTTTTATTGTATAAAAAATGTGGTACGCTCTGGAATCTGCCTTGGAGAATTAAGGGTATGGTACTAATAATAATATATGTGAGTGTCCTGTTTGAAATATTTAAGATTTTTATGTGTGCCCAAACGCTTAATGAATATTTGTTATTTTTTACATAACAGCTACATTTAATGCTTTACTAAACATCGCCCCTAATACAACTTTGACAAATTTCTAATAGCAAAACTGGATGGATTACAACACGAATACATAACAGTGATCTTATAAATATAATGTGGGATATTTAGTTACGTTCAATCGATTTCTACTTGATTTTCAATATAAACACAGCTATAACACAAGTTTTACATAGGTTGCTGTTCAACTATAGGATTGATTTTAGGATCTAAGAGAATAGGATTAAGGGAAGAGGTATTGGATGGTTCAGAGTTGTGATATAGGTAACATGCAATACAAGATGGTATTCGACTGCATCGATATCTGTCATGCGTCCACGCGTTTCCTCACGTCTGAAATGCGAAGCGAAGTGATAATGCCTTTCTTTGATAGTGCAGCGATTGTAAAGAATTTAGCCAGAGCGATATAGAGAGCGTATAATAATACAATTTGTGTACAATGTTGACTAATTTAGCAGTATACATTATTTTTGTTTTGTTTACCTTGAACAGCTGCACTCCGATAACGGCGAACATGAATTGTAGCAGATATGTTACCAGCATGATATTGCCGATCGTCTTAATGGCGACTATCACGCATTTCACTACATACTAGCGTTGAGGAGCAGGTAGAAGGATGGAACAGACAAAGAAACAAAATATTTTGCTAATTCAAGAGTCAAATACAAGAATAGGTACAACCTAGTTGAATGCGGCTGGTAAATTATTTAAACTGTCTTATTATGTGGTATTACAGCAAAACGGCTAACATTGGCAGAAGGGCGGGCTGGTTCTCGGACATAGTCTGTGCATAAAATTCAAGAACACAAATGGTGCCGGTTGATAAATATAAATGAGTATAATACTTCAACACAAAATCCAAAAACAAAAACAAAAACGAATGTGCGTATAACGGATAATAGTGAGTGACGGAAATCAAATACGACTGAACGTCTCCCCAGGCGATCAAATGCACCTTAGGGTAAAGCTTTTGAGGCAAAGTAACAGTTTTCATCCATCTTACCATCAATTACTTATCATCCCAGTGCCAGTTATTTTTAATAATCGTTAAGTTTTGTTTGTTGGAAAGTACGACTCCTAACTTCCGAATACAATAGCATTGCTTTTCATTGACACGTAAGATCATATAGTCATAGATATTCAGAAAGAAAGCCTGCATTAACCCCTTAACTTAAAATGACGAACAGAGCCCGCGTGCTATTGCTAGGCCAAAAGTAAATATTACGGGCATAGCCCGCGTACGATATTCGGGCCAGAAGCAAATATTACGCATAACGGGCATGGTGAACGCTAGTATTACAAAACATTTATTTATACGAAACTATAAAACACAAAATTATTTTTATTTTTGTGATAAACCGTATACTATGAGGGAAAATAGTCACAAATGCCGCGCGAGCTTGAACAACTTTGGGCCTACATTTTCGAATCTAAATCGTAAGTTAAGGGGTTAAAAGTGTTTGATATATCTATAAATGAATTTCTATGTCCTCCGTTTGTACAATGAAAAAACAATTGCTAACATGATCGGAAGCATCAATCTATCGTGTTCGTATGACTACAAGTCTAAATGGCTTTCGATCTATTCTGGAAAATGTAACAGTATGCATTGTGTACCATAAAGGCAGTGTTTAAAAGGCATGTGGTTGTGTGACTTATATTGGCTTATTAGGTACATCGACATATGTGGAATTTTGTCATTGATTTGATGATTTTACAAATTTGAATGATATCTATGATAATAAAAATATACAGAAGATATACATCTTCTTTGCGATAAAAATAACTACAACTAATTTGCCTATTCCACAAATATTGTATAATAAGCGCCACATCGTTCGTTCTGCCTAGCTCTTGACAAGAACTAGAAATTTAAAATTGTAATAATCATATTAATTTTGAATGGTATTGTTAATTTTAAATATTTACATTAGAGTTAAATCGCTGATAATTAAAATTATCAGGAGTTACTTGAAAATTTAAATATGGTGTTATCAACGTCCGGCAGCATATCGAATGAATGCACCTTGTGGTACTAGATAAAAATTTAATAAAATAATTATTATATATTATGATTTTATTGTATATACTTTGTACCTAACATTCTTGATTTACGTGAATAACATCATTTCATAGTGTAATAAAATTAAGTCAGCTACAACCTGAAGGTATAAACTCTTCTCGATTAAAATAAAAGTACGAATTTATGATATTTAACATATATTATATTACATTCTTCGTTTAATGTCAATCAAATGAAAGGATTCAAGTTTCTTTTATTCCATTCCTATATTTATGGCCAACTCATGGAAGTAAAAACGAAAATTTCAAAACTTTCTTGTAATTCTTGGTTTAGTAACAGAAACAAGATAACAGATTATGGAAAAAATTAACGACTAGAATAAATTTCTGTTTAGACCATTTTAGAAATATAAGCTTAAAAATAAATAAAAATTATATTTATACTAACCTGTCAGCACAATCTGTATGTGAATATATTTTGTTGTACATTATCTATATTTTTGTATGAATCAATAAAAAATCATAGATATCATAATATTTGTATCATTATCAAATGCTGATGACAAACAGCGAAAGTTTGAATTGCAGTTGAACACATATCACGCGACAATCACATGCTGTTAGTGAGCTAGTTATTTTTTGTGTTTTTTGTTCAGAATCCCATTATGTTCCCAAAAATGATAACTGTATGGTTAAATCGAACATAACGAATAATGCACAAATTATTTCTCATGTCTTTCCATGGACGTGTATGCATGTGATGTTGGGGTGAAAATCAGACACTCGCAGGTATTTACAAATGCAAACAAATGCTACCGGTTTTGTCCAAAGGTCGGTATAATTGTTTATAAGGTTAATGGAATCAGTTTGTGGATTTCGATTTTAAACTAAATCGCAAAACGCAAAAATGTCACAACTCTCTAGTTTCAAATAAAACGCAAAAATAAACGCCAGAAAATATCATAACTACGTAATCTATAATATATTGTGTGTCTTAAAATTTGAGTAATGGCGTGGTATTATATGATATACCGATTGAATTACTCGCTCAATAGCAAAACTTCCAAAAGCATGAAACTAAAAGCACTCTGTGATATTATACATTTTACCCATGAGCAAAAGCCTACAAGTTATTGTAAAATAATTGAAAATGTGACTTAGACATTGCTTTCATACAATGCTTAAAAATATTCGTTCGCTCTATTCAAATTACATATTTGCTCCTTCGTTACATTATGCGCTCTGATTTCATACATACATTATGTTTCATTCAAATAATCAGACAAACATACACATATACTTATATATATTCATAAAGTGCATAAAAAGCAACAAATTTGTGATAATTTATAAAATTTCTGACAATTTTCGAAACAACGTTATTAATTTATTCATTGCGTAAGTAAAATATTGAAACATCTAGCAATTTATTTTGCTGATACCTATTAAATATATCTTTTGAAATATAATCAGGTAAGGCATATGTAAGAAAAGCTTTATGAACGGTTGTTAACACATATTAAAAAATGTAGAACTGATTCGCACATTTTACTTCTTTAAAGGATGGAAAGACTTCCACTGTAATGCTCATAGGATTTTCTCTAATTATATTAAATTCATATTATTATAAATGGATATCAATATACATTTATGTACACAAACACAAACACAAACACACACATATATATATATATATATATATATATATATATATGAATAAGAAATGAATTGATTAAATATCATATAGTAATTTTTTTCACATCTCCACAAGTTTTACCAAAAATCTGATGAAAATCACACCTTACAGACTGTGTCTGGAAGCAATTCCGTTAGATGTGATTTTTTTTCAGATTTTGCCATATGATTTCAGAATTTATCTTTTCTACCTGTTCTAATGTATAATCAGGTAACAAAGCTATGATTTATATGAATACAAAAAAATGCCGTTAATAAGCACTATGTTGCGATATTCTATGTTTACTTATCTATGATCCTACCATTATTTACAACATTGCTATTAATAATTATAATATAGAGTATATTTGAATTCAGGCATTGCAATATTTTATAGACTTAATTCGAAACTAAATTCTTTTAATTTATGTACAGTCTATTGCACGTACATAGTTTTAAAAAGCTCGAAGTTCAAATATATTCAATTCATTAATTTTTACTGCAATAACAGTACTTGATAGATCCTAAACTCTAAATGCAACAGTACGGCAACAAAATTGTATAAAGACTTAGAAATGAGCTCGAAGCTTAGAAAAAAGCTCGAACGGCATCTCGTACGGCAACAAAATTGTAGAAAGACTTAGAAATGAGCTCGAACGGCAACTCGTACGGCAACAAAATTGTAGAAAGACTTCGAAATGAGCTCGAAGCTTAGAAAAAAGCTCGAAGTTCAAATATATTCAATTCTTCAATTTTTACTGCAATAACTGTACTTGATAGATCCTAAACTCTAAATGCAACAGTACGGCAACAAAATTGTATAAAGACTTAGAAATGAACTTAAAAAATACTACTAAAATAATTTTTATAAATGCTATTCCTTGTAAAATCCGTATAACGATTACATTATTATATTGATGAATTCCGAGGTTAATAAGTGATATTTTTTGTAAATATCGAAATTACATGCAAGCAAACTCTAAACTGATATTTAATTATGTCATTGATATCCATTAGTTATAATATTATTTTAAGAATATTTTTAGTCCTGAATCATGCACAGTGGTAGTCTTCCTATATGGTTCTGTATTTTTTACCAGTCGCTCACTCATTCAGGCGCTATAACCACTCCGGAAGGAAGGTGACAAACAAAAGAAAAATAATAATAAACATGGAGAGCTTTGAACCCAATCTTGTCCTGAATTTGGCGTGCTGGAGATTAATCAAATACCCAAAGGTGCATTTGCGGATTAGACATAACCAGCAGCGATATTGGCAGTGCCTACCTTAAACAATTGCACGCCGATTACCGCGAACATGAACTGTAGGAGACAGGTCACTAGAACAATGTTGCCAATAGTCTTAACGGCCACGATCACGCACTGGACTACATGCTACGGGATAGAATTATATGAGAACAGAAGAACAGAACTGATAAACAGAACAGCAAACAGAAAAATGAAAATGAACAAAACGAGTGAAAAACTCAAACGTGAGAAGAAACTCTTGTGTTGTTACGCATAGCTGCTCCGACTCGTCAACATCGTCCACGAATCAAACGAGCCGACCCCAACTGCCTGGTTTATATTATGATAATGCATTGTTTTATCCTTTTAAATAAATAGGATTATAGTTAAATATAAAAATGTATTTAGTAATATTCAGTAAAAACAGCGGCGTAAAGCAATAGCATGATCAACCCATCACTCATAAATATATGTAACATTAACCCTTTCAATACGGCGATATTTTCACTGAGTGACACTGCTGTACGAGCAGTGGCGGATCCAGGGGGTGGGTCACGGGGGTCATCACCCCTCCTGAGCTTGTTTTAAGACATAGATAGAACACTAATTCAGCAATAGTATTACTTCATAATGATTTTATTTATGTATTTTGTTACCAAACACATTCTATAAATTCAATATGTAACTTATTATAGACGAACGGCAGAGTCAAAGGCTCCTATAATTTAAGTCATTATTACGAATATATGTTCTATACATAATTTAGTTATGTGACCCTAGCGCCAAATTGGATCCGCCACTGTGTACGAGCCAAGACGCCGAAGGTTTTGTTTCGCAAAATATTTCAAGGTTTTTTAAATTATCATCAATAAAAATGCATTTAGTGAAATATCTTGAAGTTCGAAATAGCTTGAACACTCAGACAGTTGTCGACTCTCGCAGAAAAAGGGCTAATATTTGATGTACGATGTACTGTATATATAAAAAACTTAATTTTGTAGAAACAACAGGCAAAACAAAAAGATTTGAGTTAATATTAAAATAATACGTATCTTTTCTAAAAAGTTGCAAATCACTCTCTTTCATATTAATTTCGAATTTACGACATCTTCAATTATATAATTTTAATTTTTATTTAATTCAATATTGAATTAGAATAATACCACTGTTGAATCTTAAAGCAGTAGTAAGATGTGATTGAAGAATTATTTTGGAGCAGACAAAACCATGTACAGTCTTAAGATGCAAAAATAGTGAAAGAAATATTTTCAATTTAAATACGTTATAGGAATAGAAAAGTTATACGCTATAGAAAGCTAATAAGAATAATTTATAAGTAAAAAATATATATTTTTTAATTATAACCAGAAATCAAATATTACGGTAATTAAAATTAAATGATAACGTTATTTTGCTTTTTATTTCAATTTGAAAAATATCTTTAGGGGTTGATGCTAAAGCTTTACACCGAGCGGTAATATTTCTGGAAGGTAAGCATTATAATTATTAAAACTAAAAAATGAACGATATATTAGCAATAAGATTCTTTTATACCTTAAGACCTTTCGCTCGATTGATTGCACGAAGAGGTCTCAGCACACGCAATACTCTCAGAATTTTTACAACGGATATGGCCCCAGAACTGTAAGTATATCAGATTTAAATAAACGATCAATTTCAACATAGATTAACAAGTATAAACTGTATTAAGTATAATTATAATAATTAATGGACCGATGCTGCCGCATAACAGACAAACATTATGGCAATGCCACGCCATGAAGAACTTTCTATACTAATTCGTTCTAAATATTGACAAAAGCCATGTGGTTGCTGTAAAATCAGACGTTTTTCTCAGGTTGTCAGGTAGAAAACCTAGAAATCGCACAAATGTCAAAAAAAAATACGATTTTATATAACAGGGTCTTTGTGACCAAGCTTTATAACATACGAGTGACATTGCAGTTTATGAGTAAAACGCCTGATTGCACAGCAAATACATGATACTTTGACACTATTTAGTATGGTTCAGTAGCAAATGTATGGAGGTTGGAGCATAACATGACCTTGCCATAACATTGGTCTGTTATGCGGCAGAATAAGTAATTTCTCATACGATTAAAATGTTAAATAATGTTACTAAATTCTATTAAAGTATGTATAATAAAACAAAATAGCTTTAATGATTTATTAGACTCACCTGAAGTAAATTGATATAAGAGACACACATACAACTAACAAGTCGAGAAGATTAAACGCTGACCGACAGAATGCACCTTTATGCAAGACGAAACCATATGAAACCAATTTTAACAGTAACTCCACAGTGAAGGCACCAGTAAAGAAGTAGTCAAAGTAATTTAGAATCTGCAATGAATATTAAATTGAACAAGTCCTCTTACAGTTAATTATTGTTCTCAGTTACCTGGTTGCGTTCTGAAGCTGCGTTGAGTGGATCTTCAGCAGCCAACATAGCTGACGAAAACATGATGCAAACCAAAATGATGTTACCGAAATAGCTGTGGTTGCATAACCAGTGGCAAAAAACACGAAATCTGTAAAATCATACATAAAATTTGTCAAGAAATAGAATTATTTCGTCAAAGCACTTCTATATAAAAATGGAATTAGCAAAATTATAGAGTAACGCAAATTATATATCTCTGCCGGCATCTTGTGATCAGCTCTACTGGAAAACCCATTCATATGAATCATGCAACAACTATAGCTGTGATCGAAAGTCAAATCTAGTGCACTATTTCTAAACTACTCAACCAACTACAGTTGTGCTCCTGTTTAGCAGAATAATTATGATATCAAATAAAAAAGTCAATTCATACTGGTAATAAGTTATTTAGAACGGTGATTATGAAAAATGTTAATACATTTTTCAAACCTAGAAAAAATATATGAATCGACTTAGTTTGAATCACGGCGTGGGAATGTTATGCAGTCTAATAAAAAAGCTATTCGATCAAAATTTAATGAATTTAAATTTAATGCTAAAAGCAACTAAATAGATTAAGCTGTTCGTTTAATTATTATAATGCTTTATTAATTTGTGTGGGGCAAAAGTATAAAAGAATAAGGCAAAAATTTTATTCAGCATAAGTTCAACAAATCTATCATTCGATTTAAAATTGAACGAAAACAGCAATAGCTCTTTCTGATCCAAAATAAAATATCTACTAAAACTACAACAACATCCTCTATGTGCAAAAAGCTTCTTTGCAGTGATGTCTGCGTGGAGATTCTGATTTTGTGTGGAGTGTTTTGTTGCTAGCGGCGGTGCAAATTTCTACATTGAACATCCACTAAAAACTCGGGCACTATTTTGGCACATCCGAGTGCGCGCCCGTCACCTGTTTGTTGGTGAAAAAATGTAGAACGAAGACGCCTGAGGAATTGGTTGGGTCTTAGAGGCCATGTTGAAATCGGACATTCTCCTAGGTCGGGCAGTAGTGCACTCTTCAGCTTCCTCGTGCTCTGAAACGTAAAACGCGCAACACGGCGCGAGGTTATCAAAGAGGTCAAAAACGGGCGCGGAGCATCCAGCGAATATCGAAGAAGGGCAGGGTAGGAGATTAGGTAATATAAGATTAGGAAATAACGTTTTGAATAATATCAAACTCCAATATGGACCTAATAAATTCTTAATGAGAAACCTCGAGACAAGAACATAGTCCGCAAACTACTTCTCTTAAAAAGAAAAATGGTATTAATGAAAATGGATTTTGTTTTCAACTATAAACCACAATTTTCCATCTTTTTGTAAGAAGTTTGCCCATAAAACAAAATTAAAAAATGTATTCTCTAGAAGTGTGGTGTCTCAATCATTTGGTTAGGTTAATGCAGGTTAATAAAAAACAGAAAATAAAGTTAATTTTATGCTGTGCGTGCTTTATTTGTAATAGTCATATTTTATTCATAAGTATTGTATATACTGACGACTTAAATTGCATTGATTAAATGTAACAAATTTGTATTTGGTACAATCCACAAATAGCGTTCTAATATTACCATGTAAGATCACTCCTGGATTTGTTATCACAGAGTACCAGTTTATAAACCGCATTTCGGTGAATCAATTATTATTACTAACTAGTATCTGTATAGCATCGTGCCTTAAGGCAAATTGCTGGAACTTACCGTACCAAAAATTAAACTTTTTTCAATTATTTTGAAACTTTTAAACTTATTTGCAAAGCAATCGGGCTGATTTGGAAAAGAAATTTAAAAGCGCTGCGTCACAGTCTAACTGATAAACATTGGTACAGAACCCATAGAAATGTAAAAAAAATATACTTATTTTTAAAATCTCTATGAAATATCTGATTGTTTGATGTGGATATATCTAATATTTCAGTTTATACTTTTTTCACTCGATCTCTGAAACCTCTAGATCTGCCTTCCCAAAAATTTCACCTTTTATCATTTTGTTAAAGCAAGTAAATTGTTTTTTGAATTATTGAAATCGGACGCTCCGTTCTCTCAAAACCTCGTATATTTGAAACGACTGGACCTGCCATGGCCAAAAACTAATCATGACGTCTCCTTATCAACAAAAATCGAATGTTTTTGTCAAATCGTTCAGATCGGTTGAACCGTGTTCCCAAAATCGTCGACAAAAATTTGTATCCGCACACAAGTAAATATCATATATTGCGTTGCACGATTCTTAATAGTTGGAGATGATAGATACAAAATTGAACAGATAGTTAAGGAAAATGATTTTTAGAATAACAGGAAAAATGGGTATTCTTCTGATATTCAAATCATCGTACGATGCCAGGACTGGATGCCGCCGCGCTCTTTGCATACCTGTTGGTTTGTGATAAAATGAAAAATGCGCTTCCGGGCGGTATGGGTTTCTTCTTTTGCTTGATGCTAATATCAGACATACGCCTCGGACGAGCCGATTCCACTATAATCTCACCTTCTTCTTCGTCCTCTGGAATTTTACAATCGTGAATACAAAGTTCAAAATTAATCGCGGAAATAAACACTCGAAAGTCGATTTTGTCACGAATTGAAGTCAATAATTTGGGAAATTCGATTTTGAAAGTGGAACAACAAAAAAGTAAAAAATCGAAAAAAATTATTAATATATTTTAAAATAGCATTCACTTCAATTAAAAAAAGTAATGTAAAAATTATTCAAATTAAATTTATGAAGTTCAAAATTTTGTCTAAAACTAAAAACAACTGAACACCAGAAGATGAGTAAGTATTATTGGTAAGTTAAACTACACATCGAAGACCACCTGGAAATTCAATTAATTATTAAAGAGTAAAAAATAGTTATTAAAATTATACCTTGTTCTTCCATCTGCTGTTCATACTCCTCTTCCTCCAAGCGCACTTTTGCCTCCGAAGCCGTTTCATCACCATGTTCTGACCTAAAAGCAAAGAGTCATATACAGCTAAAATAAAACATTATATATAAATTCAAAAATTCTATTTATTTTATTTATTCAAAAGTTGAAAACAGTATGTAAAACCATGTTTTAAACGCAAATCAACTCTGAAGTTTATCAAGAAGGCATCATCTATTTCAACAATATCGATGGAATGATACTGTCTATTGTGTTTCTTCATTGCAAATTAAAATATTAGGTAATTTTTCACCATTGAACTTACATTTCTCCATCATACATATTTCTTTCACCATCACCATCCATATCCTCGTCCAAACATTCCTCATCTTGGTCCAGAACAGGCGTAGGGCTATGCGATTTCTGTTTCTCAGCCTGAAATCAATACACAGTATTAGCTTAATGTTATATTTGACATGTAATTTGAAATTTAATGAGAAGAAATTGAAAATATTTATTTATTTATATGAGACAATTAATTACTTCTCCTTCTTCCTCTTGTTCCTTCTCTATTGCCGTTAGAGATTCTGCGTCTGCCAAATTATCCACAGCGATAGCCAAGAAAACGTTTAACAGAATATCTGAGAGTTTGTAGTCAAGGATAATATATTAAATATAATATCTATGATAAATATCCTAGCAAAAAATTGATTTATTCAAGGAACGTGCGCATAATTCAAACGTAAACTATATTCATACTTTAAGAGCAATTGTAATTCTAAACATTTTTGTTGTGATGTTGCTTTTCATAAACTATATTGGTTAAATAGTGATTGCAATAAAACAATATTTAGTTTAGACTTCTTAACAAAATACAAATTTGTAATATTCCGAAATTCTAAAAACATAGTATATATAAATCATATCACAATGAGTAACATATAATCGATATTGATGTATATATCAAGTTAGAGGTTTTGATTAGATATTAAGCAATGTTAATTAAGAAATGTTTTAAAAGGGATTTGATTTACAGACATACATTTTGATTCATATTCTTTTATATTCACTTATAAAATTATATTCTATTATATAAAAATAAGTCGGGTTTTCACCTTTTTTGCATTCGTTGGAAAGGTCTCGGACTCCGTGAGGTTTATAGCAAAGAAAATTGAAGAAAGATTTCAACAGAAAAGCGGAAAACACTCTTTTTTTTCATATACGGCGTCATCTCTGATACTTAACATGCACTACAAACTAATATTTTTTGTTTGACAGCTACTCATTGTTCTCTGCTCAGTTAATTTCATTTGACATACCGGCATTGTGTTCACTGTAAAATTGTGCAAAAAAGTAAAAAAAAGTTATTCGTTTCCTAACATTTCAATTGGAAACCATCAAATCAATCACGTGTATTGTGCAAATTTTTATTCAATTTTAACAGCACGCAATTTTTTTCTTCATCTTTTAATCACCAAACGAAATGTTACATAAAATGGAACCATCTGGAGGTGAAACGAAGTTCGCCCGGTTTGCTAGTTCACTCATAAAATTAAGATGAGCATTATTCAATTTATAATTAATAGTTAACTGTTATAATTTGCGGTACTTCTGTTTGTTGGAACGTTAATTATAATGAGATTAGTGTTTTTGTTGATTTCAGTATCAGTTTTCAGTATATTATTTAAAATAATATTTGATTCAATTGAGACTACTATAGTTATATTCCTATTAATTTGAAGTTGAAAATTGAAAAGGATACAATTACCACATATGAACAAAATTATAAAATATATGCAGGCTAATATCCCTATCGAAGCCACACCACCATACGCTTGTATACCATCGTACATAACAACATTCCAATCTTCACCAGTTAATATCTGCAATTCGAATAAAAAAGTATTACCAAAAATTTGTATTCTTTTATGAAAATATTTTGTTTTTACCTGAAACACAGTTAAAAGACTCTGCCAAAAACTGTCAAAATTTCCCCGAGGTTTGTCTTTTGTCGGATCAAAATTAAATTTTCCTCCAAAAACTTGCATACCGAGAAGAGCGAATATAACAATGAACAAAAAGAGCAGTAGCAACAAAGAAGCAATTGATTGTATTGAATTTAACAATGAGGCAACCAGATTAGATAGAGATCGCCAGTATCTGAAAAATAAAATATATCATTAGTTTATGCGCATACAATTCAGAAAATTACTAAATATATTTTAAAAATATTTTTGTATATAATTTTAAATATCATTTCGACGTTGACGTAGTGTAATAATTGGGTCACATAAAAAACTGGAATTTTTTGTGACATATTTTGAAATCAATACGTTTCGGCTGTAGTCCTTGCCCTCATTCAGAGAACTAATATATTTGCTTAATCCAATTTCAAAAATAACTAGTGGGGCGCATGGCATCGTGCCTTAAGACAAATTGCTGGAATTTCCCGTAACAATTTTTTTTTTAAAGATTAACATTTTTGAAAAAAATTTACTCCAAAAAATTAGATTTTTGAGAAACTATAAGTTTTTGACAAAAATTTACTTTTTTTTGAAAAAAATACTTTGCGAAGAAAAGTGTATTCTGACATATTTTGGAAATTCTGAAATTTTTTTCAAAGTAATCGTACTGCTTTAACTGCATAGAGATAAAATATCGAAGCGCGTAAGCGCCGCGCCGCCGTCTAACGGATAAGCATTGGAACGGAACCCATAGGAGGGTAACAAAATTTATACTTATTGTTAAACTCTCTATAAAATGTCTGATAATTTGATGTGCATATGTCTAATGATCATTTTTGACCGCCAGATGGCATTTTTTTTTACTTTTTTTACTGGATCTCCGAAACTGTTTAACCTGCCTTCATGAAAATTTGATCAATTCATCTTGTCAATACAAGTAAAATGTTGTTTGAATTATTAAAATCGGACGCTCCGTTCTCTTGAAACTGAGTTACCATTTTCGGCACTTCTTGCCCCGTATCTTCAGAACGGCTAGACCTGCCTTTGCCAAAAACTGATCAGCACGTCTCCTTATCAATACAAATCGAATGTTTTTTTGAATTATTCAAATCGCTTCATCCGTGTTCCCGAAATCGTCGACGACAATTTGTATCCGAACACACACACATACACGCACACACACACGCACACACACACACATACACACACACATACATGTTTTCTAAGGTATGCCAAAATGTTCAGAAGTTTTTGAAACGTAAAGATATATAAACACTTTCATTTGCGATTTTTTTGCGATTACTATAACTTGCCCTACGGGAAGTTAATAATAATAAAAGAAAATAAAATAAATAAAAAAATACTAGTCGTTTCTACAGATGGCAACCAAAACAGTTCTCATGTTTCTATTTAATGAGTTATTTTTACAATTTATGTAATAGGTTGAGAGCTATTTTGACTTTGAAAGTTATTTCTATTTATATTTTCAAGTAAAAACTGTTGTCACTACTGTTTGATAACATGCTGCTCGAAGCGAGATCGAACCTGGGACCTCTGATTCAGGTCCAGTCGTTCTAGCCACTTACATACTAGCGAGCCCCAATTAAATTTGAATTAAAAAATATAGAAAAAATATATATTTGTAGAATGTAGAAAACTATAGTAGTTAAAACTGCAATACAACTTTACTAGCTAAAAATCCACTATAAAATTATATTATTTGATATTATATTCTGTTTTTACTTATGTCAAAGCCAAACCGTTATAAAAAATACGTATATTTTCCGTAGAACTTGAGTTGAACACAGGGTAATATAAACAATATATTTTACAGAAAATAAATAAACCACTGCAGTGAAAATAAATAATCCACTGAATATGATCCTCAATATAAACAAATAAATTTTTCTCTCTCTGTTATTTCACAGAGTATATATTTGTGTTGAATAAAAATATAATTTGAATAAATTTGATTTACTCACTTGGTCACTTTGAATACACGTAGAAGTCGAACACAACGTAACACAGAAACACCCAGCGGAGGCATCACTTTAGTATTGGTCAAAATCATTTCTCCTATACTACCAATCACCACAAAACAGTCAAACCGGTTAAATAATGATACAAAATATCCCTAGAAATATATTTATTAGTTAATAATTAATTATTTTATTTTACATTCTTATTTGCAGAAAGGTACATACCTGGAATCCTAAACTGTACATCTTTAACATCATCTCTAGTGTAAATAAAGCTACGAAGAATACGTTTGTTACCTCTGGAAAATAAATAGAAAAAAAACATTAGTAATCAAAATACAATCATTAAATTGACACAATAAATAATTGTTAGGTCTAAATAAAATGTTCAAAACGATCGCTCAAAATTTAATGTAAACTATTTTTCAATAAATGCTTACTGTGCAATTTTGATTGTAAAAATTACCAAGTTGCAGTGAATAGATATTGATAAGTTTTTTGATAACAGGATAGATTAACAATAGGGTAGAGCAGGGCACAAAGTCCCTATTTGACTTTCGGTAAATATACTGTCTGAACCAAATGAACTATAATACATCACAGCAAATAACACTCATTTCGTCATCTGTCCCTTTTTACCTCTTAGGCCGGGTTAAAAGAGACAGACATCGGGCAAACAGATAAAATGTCTTATTTTTAATTTTCATAAAATTTTACAAAATAATAGCTAAATTATTTAACAAATGAGAAATAAGTATTTCCTGTCCACATTTTTAAAAACTTACACCTATTGTTTACACCTTTGCCAGGGTAAAATTTCAGTTGGTTCTTTTTACCCCATTTTATAGATCAACAAGCATAAATTCCCCATCCACATGTGAAATAATAAAGAGATTTTATAAAAACGAATGAATTTAACTTAAAATTAACAACACATCTTATAAAACAATTCAATAAAATACTCAATAAATAATTCAATAAATAAATAACTCGTGAACTAAACAACAGCAATCACAATAAAGATTTTAAGTCAGACTTGGGGGTATTCTAGTGTAGAAATTCAAAAAATCGTATTTTTTTTATTTCATATTTTCAAAGTTTAACTATCTAAGAATATGGGTTCGAGAAGGTTTTTGAAAATCTGAATTATTTTCGGAGATATAGGCATTTTACTGACTCGGTCTCCATGCTGGTTTGGCTTCACGCAAAACTTTAAATGCGTTTTTCTCAGAACAGACAGAAATGTTCAGAGAGTCTTGTTTATAGACCTATCTATAGCCCGAACTAGGATTATCCCCAAATTCCAATCTTTACTATTTTTAAAAAATTCGAGAAACTCAAAAAAACAGTAAAAAACACTTTTTTTGCAAACAGACGCCAATTTGTAAAAAAAATATTTTTACTCATAGCTAGCTCGGGCGATTGCGACATCATTGTAGATTGATAATCTTTTTATGTTTTGCATTTCCGATGGCTAGAAGCGCTGAAATCTTGTGAAGACTATGGTGCCAATTTTTTGAGACCATCCACTTCATCAGCTGCCAGTTTTTACAATTTTCAACTTCTTTATTTTTTAATTTTTGTTTTGTATTTTAATAATATTAATAAATAAGTGGTCAAAAAATGGATAGTAAAAACATTCAATACTTTCTTTTACGACACTTTAAAAATGACCTAAAATTCATCGCTCTACACTAGAATACCCCTTTAAGGTGGCGGCTGGTTATACATTTTTTACCCTGTACTTTCAAATATCCTTTCCAAAAAAATCCTAACATTACTTGATTTTGAAATATTGGTGGTGAACTTTATTTGTAGAATTAAATATTCAAAACCAGGTTTTTGGAAGTAAATGAACGGAAGTATGTAGTTAAATACATAATTATTTTTATCAATTACCACGTTTGTTTTTGAACTTTACCTTGAAAATCATCCAGCCACAAAGGTTGTCTATAATATTCGGTCGCCAAAACGCAAGTATTCAGAAAAACTAGAACAATAATCAGCCAATAGAACGCCTGCGACTTGACGGCTTTCCGGCAACCTCTGCGCATTCGCCTATTTATCCGATCCATGCTCTTTTTCTTTTGCTTATACCAGGACTCCTGCTGTATTTCACCTTCCTCGCCAAGTTGGTCCGAAGAATCCATCTCGTTAACCATTTTACCTTTGCCGTCCTGCATAACTTGGTCCTCACCTTCGGGCTCTATGTCTTCAGCCTGCGTTATCCAGTCGAGGTACCCCCGAAGATCTTCCTCAATCTGCTGCTTTTCACGCAGTTTGTGGAAATCTCCGCGGGCTTTGGCTTTTTCTCTTTCTTTAGAAAATTCTCTGGAAGTGATAAATTGTACGTGTGAATATTTTTGTTTAAATATTACTAAGCTAGGTGATAATTATAGTAACATTAATATGTAATTAAAAACACAAAAATCATTTCTATCGCAGGTACTAACTAGAAAACTTCTTCTGAAACACTACACAAACTTAAGTATTTTAAATATAAATATGGTCTATATACCAAGACAAAATTAAATCAATCACAAACTAAATTTAAATTCAAACTAGTTGGTATTGGTATTTTGCCTTGAGGCAAGTTACATGAACTTCTCCATATGTGTAAATAATCGATTTAATCAATAAAAATAAATTAATTTATGAGTGATTAAAAGTATTCCCAGTGGATTCATTACACATAATTAAAAACGAACGAACACGTTAACTCGGAGTATTTTCTAAAAGAAAATGTTCACAAATCAATATTTTTTATAATTGAATCAGTTTCCGTAGGACATGAAAGTCCTACGGAAAGTTTAGTATGTTCATTAAGACCAAGCACTCTATCGTTATACCAAGTAAATCGTCTAATTTTAATTTTAACAAACGTCAAAAAAACTACTCATTTTCTCAAACTTTGATGAAATTTTAAAATTAAACAACTTGTCGTAAGGCCGTAATATTTCAGTAAGTTCTATAAGACCAGGATATATATCGCCAAAAAAAAGTTCCATAAAAATCGGCTTAATTTTTTTTTTCAACAGTTAATTAAACGGCTCGATAGATTTTCAACAATAACTAATAAGTATCATTCCCAAATGATATCTTTCGAACAGTTTTTCATTTTTGAAAATCGATTCGGTAGTATGAGCTTGAATGTGGACGAAAAGTTTAACACTTTTTTCCAAATGGCTCGGCCGATCGCTGCACAAATAATCCATACCAAAATACATCGATTGGCTTTTAAATTTTTGAAATCGGTTCAGGCGTTTTTGAGCAAACGACGATAAAAGTTATAATTTTGATAAACGCCAAAAAAACGACACTAATTTTTGCAAACTTTGACAATTTTTTAAAATTAAACAACTTGTCGTGAGATCGTCATATTCTAATATGATCTATAAGACTATGGTATAAAAAAAAGGTATTTTTTACTACAATTAATCCTACAACCAGAATTATAGTGAATCATACCCGCTCAAGACACCAAGAATTAGATTCATAACGAAAAATGCTCCCAAGATAACCATAGAAATAAAGTAACTCCATTGCCACGAGTTTCCCATCGCATCTTCAATCTGTGACATAGAAATAAATCAGATAAATAAAATAATTATTCTTGATTCGATGAATAAAGATTGTTATTACGATGTTTCAAACTTACATCATACAAGACGTCCGTCCAGCCTTCCAGAGTGATACATTGAAATACCGTCAACATAGCCAAACCGAAATTGTCGAAATTCGTTATCCCGAAATTAGGTCCAGCCCAATAATACTTACAGACCATACCATCTTCACATTTGAATGCCAAAGGATCATCTCCGCACGGGTGAGGATCATCCATCATTTCCTCTAAAAATAAATAAATAGTTTTGTGAATTATCAATATATTTTTGAATCTAAAATATTTTAAATTGAGACTTTCACGTGTAAACATGAATTGTTATTCACATCACATTCTATGTTAAAAATGTAACTTTGGGATTTTATACCAAACTCCGTTACTTGGTTAAATCTAATTCATGGCCAGTTGACTTTATATGTGGTCTAGCGAGCGATTTATAGAGTTAGATAAATGTATTTCTTTGGCTATTTTATATCGCAATTTCCAATGTGCTTTCTTTAACAATAATATTAGTTCCTGTGTGCAAATGTTATCACGCCATAAAACATAAAAATAATAAAAGTTAGAAGTTTTATATATTGCACGTAGATCCTTTAAGAGATGAGTTTCCGATACCGTTGATGTTGGATATAAAGACACGTGTAAAAATGAAAAAGTATTTCTGGTTCTCGTACATTTGTGCGATATCATGGAAGTAATTAAATATATTTCTCAACTAGATTAATTGTGATTATTAATATTTTAACAAAATATCATTGGATGATATTTAGAATTTTTTATTTCAATGACAAATAATATTAATAAAAATTAAGTAATTTATAAATAATTATACAAAGATAGTTTACATATTACACAAAAACAACTTAAAAACCAACTTATTGTTGATTAAATTCTAATTTGTTCATTGTTGTAAACATATTTGTTTTAGAAAATAATTGAATTCTTTAATAATGTTTCACTGTTAGTATCAATAGACTCAAAAAAGTGCTTAATATACATTTTTAAACAAATTCTTTTTCTGATTATTTCTTCATCACAATATATTGATATTGGATTTTACAATGCTTCCTAAAATAATAAAAAATAAATATTTCTCACATGCTAGGGGAAAATATAAAAAAAATATTATTGATTAAATTTTAAATCATTTAGTTTTTTTGTATAATGTTTCAATTTTTTTATTAGTACAAATAGTCAACTTTTGTGTATACAGATAAGTGAAAAATAGCAAGATTAGTTTTTGATAAAATTCTAGTTAGTTTATTTTCAAATCACATTAAAAAATTAAATTCCGTGACATTTAAACATTTTTATTAGTTTTAATTGCACCATGAATTGCACCTCTAAAATACTAAAATAGCAATTTTTCACTTTTCATATCTATCAACAATAGCAAAATTTGATGTCGATTTTATTCCAATTTGTTTAGTTTCATTAAAATAAAAAAAATTGAATCCATAATGTTTGAAATTATTAATTCATACTAGTAGCCCCACTAAGATATCGATATTCCATAAATGTTTTCCAAAATACTAATATATTAACTTTACTCTGTACAAACAAGTAATAAGTAGTAAAATTTTTAGTTAATGAAATTACAATCCTAAAAATTCTGAAATAATTAAATCCATAATATTAAATTTTATTCATTAGTACCAATAGTCCCATGAAGACATCGATGTTTATAATTAATCTAATTCTTTTCGGTTATTTCTATTTTACAAATATTCTCTAAAATGATAAAATATGAACATTACCCTATACAGAATAGGAAAAAATAGTAAAATTTGTTATTGATTGAATTCCATTTCCTTAATTTTTATTACAATAAAAAAATTGATTTCATAATATTTCAATTTTACTATAATCACACCTTTAGCACCATGATCGATTCAATATTAATAATTTACGAAATATTGCATTTCATAACGTTGTGTAAAATACAATTTAGTGTTGCTAAAGTGATTTATATTCATGAATAATGAAATCAACATTTCACTATGTATACCAATTAATAGAGAAATTTATTGCTGATTAACTCGTTAATTTTTGCTATAATATTTCAGACTATCACTAACAATAGTCTAGTCTAATGAGAAGATTGATATTTATAATAAATCAAATTCTTTACCGGTTATATCTATTTTCAAATAAATTCTAGTTCGTTAATTTTAAAATCATTATTTGTAAAACTAATTGATTTAATGCTATTTAAATTTTTCTATTAGTATTAATTACACATTACATGAAAATAATATAATTTAATGTAGCTCATGAAGAGATCAATATCAATTAATAATCTAATATTTTTTCGGTTATTTTAATTTTACAAAATATGGATTTCTCGATGTTCTCTAAAATACTACGATAAAAAGTTTTCTCTATACATACCCGTAATGTTGTTGAAACATGTTTTGTGAAGCTTTCCCGAAAAAAGCTCGAGTCCTATAATCGCGTAGATGATTATTACGAACAGCACCAAAAGGGCAATGTGTAATAAAGGCACCATGGCACGCAGGATGGAATTTAGCACCACTTGAAGACCTGATAATAAAAACAACATATTGAAATTCCAAAATTGAAAACATTTGTAACATTTGGACATGAAAAAATAGAAATATTCATGTATAGAAGACCCTATAATAATTTATATAAACTTAACTTTTTTTAAAAATAAACTCTAGGAACGTTAAAAAATATGAAGATTTTTTCAATCTTTCATCGACTTTATAAACATATTCATGTGTTTCATATTTTTGACTATTGACTTTTTTCTCTTTTGTTAGTAAACAATTCCCAATTTTTTTTTATTAAATCATTATTATACAGCAATCAGAACAGTAATTACATTCTATGAGCTGCTTTGCTTATGTATATAAACTAAAAAGAATAAACTAAATAAGAATAAATAAAGATAATAACATAAGAATAGTAACTAATAATAATAATAATATATAATAATAGTAAATAATAAAATAATATAATAATACTACAAAAAAACCATTAAATTATCTAACATATTTTGATAATAATTGTTCCATTAAACAATTTGCTAGATTAGGATATTATCCATTGGTGAAATTCCCAAAAATATGTTCAGAGACTAATTCTCCGATAAAATAGACTGTAATCTAACACGTTGTCATGGCAACCCTGTGTTACGATGTTTTTTTTTCATATAAATTGGTAGCAAAAACTATCAAAATGCTATGTATTTGCTGTGAAGCTAGAAGTTTTACACAAAAAACCTAACTTTATGTATGTGTTACAATGACATATCAAAAAGATGCAGTTATGATAACATTTTTTTCATGTTTGTGCGCTTTCTAGTTAATTTACCGTTTGCCATACCTTAGGAAAAATGAATGTATGTATATGTGTATGTGTGTGTGTGTGTATGTGTGCGTGTGCGAATACAATTTTTGGTCGACGATTTCGAGAATGGATCAACCAATTTGTATGATTTAAAAAAAACATTCGATTCCTATTGATAATGAAGCACTGATTAGTTTTTGGCAAAAGCAGGTTTAGCCATTCCAAAGATATGGGATATTTTATTAACAAGAACAAACTTTGTTTACATTTTTGTGGGTTCCGTACCAATGTATATCCTTTATCAAAATTTCAAAATATATAAAAAAAATAAAAAAAGTAAACTTTTTACAGAAAATTCAAAATTTTTTAAAGTTTTTAAAAAAATTAAAGCTTTGTTAAAAATTTTAATTTTCTGTACAGCAGGAAATATTTCAAAGTACAAAAAATCAAATTTTTCAACAAAAAAATTTTAAAAATCTATTTTTTTCAAAGTTCTAAAAATATTAAATCTGTTTTAATAAGTTTAATTTTTGTTACGAAAAGTTTAGGTTAAGTTTTATATAAAAAAAGGCTGACTGTATAGAAAAAACGTAGCATTTTGACAGGTTTTACAACCATTTTATATAAATTGGCCCCTCAAATCTAATTACATAGCATACTTGTATTTTATAAAAATCAGGAAAGGATTTCAATATTTAACTTCTGATATATTATCTCATTAAGTTTGTTATCGATTATATAAAAATGTATTGCATATTTTTAGATTATTGATTTCTGGTTATAGGATTAGTACACATGTGCCAAAAATATGTTCACATTTATAAAAATCAGATAAGGACTTTCAATATTTATCTAGGTATAATTTATGTCGTAACGTCTTTTATCGATTATGTGACAATGTATTCAATAATTTTTATTCTTGATGGGAGTAGTTAATTTGTTCCAAATGTATTTTCAATTTCAAGTACATCTCATACTTACTCATAAAAATCAGAAAAGGGTCTTCATTGTTTAACTAGTGATAATATATCTAGTAACGTCTTTTATCGGTTGTATAAAAATTAACTCCATATTTTCAGATTATTGTCTTATATCTTATTTAAACACCAAATAGTATATAACACAAATATAAAAATCACGTGGTTATTTATTATAAATTTGTAATGTGCTTTTTTATTCAAAACTTTTTTTCACATTAATAAAGTTTAAAAGAACTTCAGATTTCAATCCGGATTTAATTTTGGATTCAAATTTTAATTAGGTGGATTTTGATAACAGCCGCGACAACGCGTGGCCGGGCATGCTAGTATATATATATATATATATAAATATATAAATATATATATATACGAGTATATATATATATATATATCATAATATTTATTCGGCTAGGTATTCAAATTTCAAAAGCTTTTCTTTCTGCTTATATATTCTTTAAGATATCATATTTTGTATGTATAATATATAAACAATTCTTATGTGACTTTGTTGAAAAATTTGAATATTTTACTTTTCCAAAAACTTAAGAATACATGCATGCTATTTTCTTTGAGAATTTGGGGAGAAATATATGAAATACAACGTTGATAAATTTTTTATATACTAAGGTTTGAATATTATAAAAATACATCCGTATTTTAATATTTTTTATTTAAACTACTGAAGCAAATTAACTTTAGCTAATAAAAGTCTAATATTCTTTAAGATTTACTTATTTCAAAATTAAATTTGATAAAAACGTAAATTATAACAAAATGTGTCAATAATAGATTTTTTTAATTTGAAATTAAGTAGCATCATTAAAAAACATTAATAATTGATTTTTTTTAATTTTTAATTCTTAATATTTAATGTCCTGTAAATTGAAACGTGAATTTAAAAAAGCCTGTGAATTTAATTAGATTTTGAAAAAAATATTAACTATTGTGTGAAACCTGAAATGAAAAATCAATACACACCATTATATACTTTTAAAATACTTTGTAGATTTGATTTGATCATCATAAAAGTAATGAGCAAATGGTAATTGCATATAATAATTTGATCAAGCTTGGAATGATTGTGAATTTGCAAAATTTTTATAGGCGAGACTGGGTACGGTTGTGCCAGGCCGTAGTGAGAGTCATCATGACATTTGAACTATACTGATTTTGAGATATACTCCAAAAGAAGAAAGATGAAGTATGTTTGTTCGAACAAGTTTACATTATTGCAATGACTCACAGGCTTATAATAATAGGATCTGTAGACCGGATTGCTTTTAAAGAGTTCAAAGTTAGTTGTTTTGTTTGATTTTTTTTAATAATAACTGTTGAATTTGAATACAGTTAGATTACTTTGTTTGTAATTTTGCTGTAAGTTGAACATTAATGGTTTATAACCAGCAATTAGTTTTTGTGTAGATAATTTAGCTCAGTTTGTAACAATGATTTGCTTTGGGAAAAAGTGTGCGTTGGGTACGGTTGTGACAACTTTTGTGGGTACGGATTTGTGAAAATTAAACATAAAAAAATATCTGACTTAACTGAGACAAAACACGAAAGAGAAAGGGAAAGAAAAATTCAATACAAGAAAAAAATAATTTCACAAAGATATTTTATTAACTTAAAAAAAATGTTTTGTTATATATTGTTATATTATATTCATAAGCTTTGTTTAAATGACTATGTTGTGTTGTGTTGTGTTGTGTTACATATTTCTGACTATAAAAGTCGTTATAAACCATTTTGTTGTTCCTGTTGTTTATGCCTGTCATAACCATACTGGAGGTGCAAAAGTTGTAATTTCATTTTATGACTAATTCATCGTATTTAGAAACAGTATTTCAGTATTACTACGTAGACAAATGTTCAAATAACCATTTAATTTATTTTTCTCCCAGCTAACTGGTAAATTAAATAAATTCTGGCTAAAAAAAGTGGCACAACAATACCCAGTCTCCCCTACTGTATAATGTGATGAAATAGAACACATTTAATGATAATTTTTACTACAGTAAATTATCGTCATACTTACTTGGAACACCGGAGACCAGCCTCAGAGGTCGTAGTACTCTGAAGGCCCTAAGTGCTTTCACGTCAAAGCCTTCTTTCATGAGAGACGAGAGCACTGTACTTATCATCCTAGAAAGCAAAGTATATACTCATCATACATTTATTTTCAACCTAAATGAGAATAACGCTAGGGAACGATGTGTTTTATACTTTTCTACAACTCGGGATGTGTTATGATATTGCACTTCCATTTTCAAAGTTTTCCTAGGTGTATTATTTCTAGCGCAGTTTTATTTTACACTGAATTAATTATGTTTTCATATTACTTAAATGCTTTTATACTATGAGTTGTAGGTAATGGAATACGGACAAGATTTTATTTTTTATTATACATTATTTTAAAAGTGTTATTTTTAGAATCAAAATATTTTCATTTTAGCTAATTGTAAGAAGCAGGTAATGGGTTTGAAAATTTACGTAATTGAAAAAAAATATAGTTGGACTTTTCGCAAATTATTTATATTAAATAAAATAAGCTATAAAAGTCGATTATTCATATTGACTCTCATTTTTTAGTTCCAGAAACAATAAATGTCAGTACGTACTACAAGCATAGAAGATTTTAGAAAAACAAATCACCATATTTTTAATAAAACATATCGACCGATTAGTTCGTTATCCAATTAGTTTCGATAAATTTGTTTTTATAAAAAATATTATCTAATTATTAAGAAAAATGCGACAAAGCAAAAATGCATATTGTTTTTTTATTTTACCAGACACCAAAAGTTTTATCACAAGTTGAATACATTTATAGTGAATTTCAAAATAAAAATATTCATTATCACCGCATTTATTGCAAAAGCAAATATCACTAAAACCCATTAATTATTAGTTATTTATGAAATGAATTAGCGAGCTGCTGTACATATCACGCTTCAAAAATAAATGGTATACAACAATTATTTTTATATAATGAAAATTTGATAGTGTTTATTTCAGGTGTCATCAGTACATTTTTAAAAACGTGAAATTCAATAGATAGTAAATATGTAAATATGTTCATAATTATACCAAACATATGAATATTTTTCTTTATTTAAATTGATTAGCGACGCTCTGTATTTAGATATTTATTCAAAAAAATATAGTCTTTGGAGGTCCAAACCTGCTATTATAAGTTAAATAGTAAATGAGTCTAGAGTCAATGAATTTAGAGAGTCAAGAATCTACAAAATTGCTATGAGATGATGGTTTTTTACTAAAATTTTAACTTAAAAATTGATTATATATATCAGTAGCATTAGTTATATGAGTGGAACGATTTTTAATTATATAAATATGAACACATTACACTCACTACTTCATAGCTAATGGTAATAATGCATTTTATGGATAAATAATTTGATGAGCTTTTATATATGTTAATCCTTTGTGCTACAAGTTTTCTATATATTTTTGCACCATATGTTAGTGAATAGGCTATTTAAACATAAATTATTATTAAATTATAAAATGTTACTATTAGCTATTCATAGGTTTTTTGTATTGCACTCGTATCTTACTTTCAGCGAGTATGAGAACAGGGAAAGCTCAACCGAGCTTCAATATGAATTTCGTAAGATAAATAATGTTTTAAAAATAATATTTGAATTATATGTATATGAGGTATTTACTGTGTAATATATGAGAAATATACTATATAATACATGATAAATTAATAATACTTACCCTATGACTACAATTGTAAAATCTAACAAGTTCCAGCCGTTCCGCAGATACGCCCCTGGATGGAGTATAAAACCGTATGCTATAACCTTCATCACGCATTCGGCAGTGAAAATAACTAGAAACACGTATTCTATGATTTCCTGCAAAGAAATATGACAAATTTATATATTGTATGATTCTGAATTTGATGTTGACATATGATTAATAAAGTCTAAAAATCGGGCTTAACATACATAAAAAACCAAAATTTATTTCAATACAATTATTTTAAATTCATACGTTTTGGCTATAATCCTTGCTTTCTCTCAGTGCTCACTAAAAATAAAATTTAAAACAAACACAATTGATTTGAAAATAAAAATATAAACAGTAAAAAGTACTCACATATAGTTAATCTTAGTTTTAATATACAAAATTCAATAAACCAAGGTATCAGGATATGGTATTGCACCACAGTCACTACACTATGTTATATAAACAATAAAATTGTAATTAAATAATATTTCACAAAATACTAACTTAAAACATAACAATTAGATAGTGTGTAATATATGTGTTATCCGTAAGACATAAGGCATGGAGAAATATTTTATTTTTAATGTTTTTACCAAGATTCTACACATGTGTGAAACTAATTGCGAATCCTTTGCGCAACATTTTTATTGTTTTGCGAGAAATTTCGTAATACTGTCTAAATAAAAGAGATTTAAGTCGCACAGCGTGTTGAGTTCATTGAGTTTATTTATTGTTCTATCGTTATGAATAGTCAAAAATGATCCTCCTATAATTCTTTGTTTAAATAAATTTTGTTCGAATTGTAGTACAGTCGGATTAAAAAAGTCTGTATTGTGTTTTGAAGCATTAATGTGGTCCGCAAGCATAGTTTTAAATTGTCTGGGAGTTTTAAAATTATTTTTGTATTGTTGTAACTAGGATTATAGCAACGCATGAATGTAAAATAAATTTTTGAAAGAAATTTATGTTTTTTATTGATGTTATGCCCGATTATTAAACTTTGTTAATATATATATATATATATATATATAAATAAAGTATTTTTATCATATATGCAATGTATATTACATTGATTAATTAAGAATTATCATATTCAATTTTTTACAAGTTAAGTAGACTACTAAATTAATAATGGTAATCACTTCGAAAGAAATCCTTGTATAAAAAAATCGTTGATATCAAGTTGAACTAAAAAGTAATTCACAATCAAGTTCTGAATTAATTTTACTGCATTCATTGAAAACGTGTGTATAGTAATCCACATTATTATTAATAAATTAAATCAAAAGTTTAACCGGCATACTTGCATGTTTGTTATTAAGTTGCACTATACATTTGCAGTTGAAACTAACTAAATATTCATATATCAAACAATTTTCACACACAATGAGTTTGCAGCACTACGGAAATTTCTTACTTAGTCTGGTTTAATACGTTTTCCCAAAACAATGAACATTTTATACGATGCAGAGAATACATACATTACAATATATATTATACAATACATATGTTATAATATATTCATTGAATGTAAAAGTAACGTTTCACAAATTTATCATCAAATAAGAATGTTATTGAAATAAGTGAATTATATAACTTTTTAAAAATATAATCTTGTTAAAGTATAGAAATATATAAAAAAGATAGTTGGCATATCTAATACACATTTTTAATATGAGCACAACTTATTCAAAACTTTTATATATCACAAAACTTAAGTCTCATGTCATTTGTCAATGTATAAATAAAGACAACAAAAAAAAAAACAACCTTTATCAGACATTAAGCAAGCCACAGAGATAATCACAAATTTTATAGAAGAGAAAAGATATTGCACCTAAAAGAGTGTTAGTTAAAATATTTTTTTTTTCACTTAATATAGAAATTATTTTTGACTAATTAGTGAGTATTTCTTGCTTAGTAAGTGAGCTTTACGAGAAACTTTTGAAAGGAAAAATGAGTTTCATATCAACAATTATTCATAAATAACTATGAAAGTAAATAATTTTCAAGGAGTTTTTTTAATTCGTACAATTTTGTTTTATAAGTTAGGAAAGTATATTATATTATGAATATTTGTATTGTATTATTTGTATGCATTGTATTTATATATATGTATATATATATATATATATATATATATATATATACATATACATATACATATATATATATATGTGTATATATATATATATATCTGTGTATATATGTGTGAAAGTATAAATATATTTATACCGAAATTTATTTATATGTTCTAAATGTTTTAGAGATATAAAGTAAGTACTACTCTTTCCTACAAATAAAGTCTGTGTAGTAAAATTATCTCTGATTTCTTTTTTTTGAACTGCTTCCATTTTTAACAAAAAAATATTTATTTCATTCTTAACTCATAAATGATTTCTACGTTTTGGGCATATGTGATATCTCTCTCATCAGGAATTTTAAAGTGTTGAATTTTAACAAATTTTAATTAATACTCACTACAAATTAAAATATACTTTTTCTCTATAGACGAGGTAAAATGCGATGGCTGGGGGCCAAATAGGTCCAATATCTCATTTTCAATTCTAAAAGGATTTTACGAAATATTAGTTACATTTTTTAATCAATGCAAATGTTATAAGTGTACATTTTTACAGAGATAACACAGTATATAATTTTGATTTGGTATTTTGTCAGAAATGTTTATAAGCAGATTTGGAATAATTATTGATTTAATTCATCTCTTGTAATACTGCTTTTTTCAACTTAATTCACTTTATTATTTTTTATTTGCTAGGGCAAAGGAATAGTTCGTCCTTTTTACCCCAAAAACGAGTTTTTAATGAGGTTATATAACGTATACTTGAAAATTATACGAAGTTCTCGTAAATCACAGTGTTCACAACCAAAAAAACTAACGACGAAAGAAAATACTTTTGTTATGAATTTAATTTTAATTTAATTGATAATCAAAATAAAATACAAATACAAATAAATACAAATTTAAATTATACAAATATCATGAATATATAAGTTTATAGATTCATTCATAAATGAAAAAGGAAATGAATATTTTTTTAGTTGAAAGGAGGTTTGTAATTGAGAAAAGTAAAACCAAATAATATTTATCCAGAAAAACATGTGCATATAGGCATATATATATATATATATATATATATATATATATATATATACACGCAATGATATAACATAATGTATATACAAATTCTATTCAAGATGATTTCTATAGATTTTAATGGCAACTATGATTGGATGTCAATTAGTTATATAGCTTTCCAAACAGCGAATGTGAATGAACTTTAATTAAATAGAGAATTTAATCAGCTTCGTTATTATTCCACTGTCACGGAAAATCGTTTGTGATTTGATCGCTTTCATGACGTTTGTGAAGTCATAATATTTGCGAACTCATTAGTTGCACCGATAATTCATTCAAAGGCCGTAATTATGATATTATTTTTCAAAACTATGACATAATGATTTTAATGATTTACTCATATATACAATTAAAATAATTATAATTTACTATATTAGTACTTACCAAATATGTATTCGTAATATTCGAATCGCTATTAGGATAAGGAGTGTAGACAGCCAAAGCCACGCAGTTCGCAAAAATTGTTAATAAAATTAAATATTCAAATGGTCTGTAATAAAACTGTTAAGGAAAATATTGTTGAAAGTAATATATATATATATATATATATATATATATATATATATAAATTTTATGCAAATTAAATGGATTACATATTCTTAATATCTAAGGTTCATTTATTAAAGCTAAAGCTTATTTTAATTCATATTCACATTGTTTTTAATTGTCTGTAACATGTGATTATAAATCAGTGTTTTATATTGCTCTATACAAATACAAAATAAATTTAAAATGATTAAAAAGTTAATTTTATTTAAATCGTTACTTTTCTTTAACAATAAGCTAAGTTATCTTCACCGCACATACTATTTGACGTAGTTTTAAAAGTTTATGTTGTGCAGTCATATTTAGATAATTGCATATAATATTCATTGAAAATCAATCAAACATATAGTTTGAAAACATTATAAAAAATCATAAATAATCCAGGAGTGTATATTTATTATGAATTTGGTGACATTTTATCAGTACATAATCTCTGTTCGATTTTAGTATGATTACGTATAATATGGATATAATAACAATGATAATAATGTCTTCAAATTTTTTTGCTCTCAGGGGCTGAAATGCTTCTCAAATGATAAAAAGTATTTTTCTGAAAGTTTTAGCTCTTAATATTAACTTTGAGATTGTCCGCACTCCAATCCAAAATTATTGTTTAATGAATCTTGCTGGAATGTTACAAAATCATATTTTTACCATTGAAGATGACACAAGAAATTTGCTAAATGTTCGACAAAAAATAAAGATACTGTACAATATCTACTATTTTTATTAGATGTACTAGCCAGAAGAATTTGGGACACAACATCAAAATTATTATGAAAAACTAAACATTTATATATGTAAATATAATATAAATAGGTTTGTTTTGTGTTAATTTCAAAAACTGCTGAACGAAGAAAATAAAAGCTTTTGAAACGTTGCTTTTTAATATTTATTTAATCGATTTTCCTTTTATTATGAAAATAAAAAGTATTTTACCATTTTACAATCTTGATTACATCTTTGATGAAACTTGCAATCACGCTTGAGTACTTTTTTTTAAAGAGAAGCCTCTCAAAGTCAAGCGATTTTAAAAATTTTAAATTCATAGTTCAACAAAACGTCTTAATTCTTGAAAACTTAGAGCAACTGTGTCATTATTTTTGATAGTGATCCTAGAAATATCATTCAGATTTACGGATCGATAATTTAAATAAACAAATTCAATAAAATTTAACCATTATAACCAAAAAATGATTACAATTTTACCAAAAGCTCTGGGTTGCACTCAAAAGCTCATAATTACCAAACAACGCGAGATATTGTTTTAACTTCCCGTCGGGTAAGTTATTGTAATAGTCTAAAAATCGAAATTGAAAAGTTTTGCATATCTTCACGTTTTGAAAGTTACTGAACATTTTGGCATACCTTATAAAAATGAACATGTATGCGTGTGTGTTCAAAAAATATTCTATTCTTATTGATAGGGAGATGTGCTGGTTAGTTTTTGGCAAAAGATAGGTCCAGCCGTTTCGGAGATATAAAGATGAAGGTGCAAGAAACAACAGTTTTTGAGAAAACTGAGAGAGAACTTGAGAGATTCGATTTAATTGATTCAAAAAAATTTCTGTTGACGAAACGAAAATTCAATTTCAATTTTTTTTGGAATATCGAAAATCATTCGGATTTTAATTTTAATTCTAGCTAAAGTCCTAAAGCTCACTTGTATACTTCTAATAAATAATTATAATTTTGCAATTCAGTTTATATAATTCTTATAAATATTAGACAATGTCTTCCATTTTAAATCCGATTGATTAAGTTTTGTATATTTACATTTTGTAAACATTTATAAACTTTGTTGTTTACTTCATAAGCTCTTATATTTTTACTATGAACAATGAATAACGAAATTTACAGTATTTATGATCATTTATTTGAAAACATGTAATATTCCTCGAATATTATGGTACGGAATTATTTCATTATGATACAGAAAGTTTCAGCAAATTGCCTTAAGGCACGATGCACGATACATCACTTGTTTAGTTTTTTTTTCAGGGCAATTACAGTCAATTAAAACACCCTGTTTTGCTTGAGGTTGATTTCTGAAACACTCTGTATATATACATAAATCTATACCCGTGTGTATGCATGTATGAATATCTTTGAGAGCGAACAAGCGTGCCCATACAGCAAAATTCAATCTACCGGACTGAAAAGAAATATTGGCACCGGTAATGTAATTAGTGTTCAATAACAATCAAGCTTAATTAGTGGGAACTAACAACAAGTAAATGCACTTCCATCGAGCCAAGGGTGAAATTGCAGCGAACACACGACAAACGCTGCTAGTGCTACGTAGCCACGGGCTGTAGCTGCTAGATGGAGCGCAGCTCATAGTATGGTAGCGGCGCCGGGGTAATTTATTAATATTTGCTAAACTTAATATTGAACTACAAAATAGAGAAATAAATTCTAACGGTTGCAAAGTTTTGCATCTTTTACTGCAGTGTCGGCTACTAATATTATAAAACTGTTTAAAGTTGGCCCATGAAGTAATATATAGAGATTAGCAATTTATTTTAATTTGGTGATGTCAGTTATTTGAATTAGTTTAATATATTAGCTTATATTTCTTTAGTTATAACTTATAAAAACTAATGAATTTAAACAAAAACATTTTATAATGATTTAAAGTTGATTCAGGAAGTAACAGGTTTAAATGTGCTATTTATTTTAATAAGAAGATGCTAGTTATTTTAATTAGAGTTGGCATACTATGCTGTTTTATATTGTATGTTTATAAGTTATTAATAACAAATAATTTATACACAAAATATAATCTGCAGTCACTTTTCAATGGGATCTTAAACGATGTCAAAATATTTTTTTGTCTCGATTGGACATGTAAACCGTTCTGCATAATCAGAGCTACTGTCCCGCACGTCGATGCAGTAAACAGAACTGTGCAGGTGCGTCATTTTTTGAACGGTAATATAAAATTGATCTATAATAAAATTTCGGTTTGCGTTATTCGAATCGATTAATTTCAAATTTTCTATATCTTATTTCTTTTCGAATTTATCAATATTTGATAATGTGTACAATTTTTTTTTTGTGATTGCTTTAAATAGTTATCTTGATCAATGTAAATTAATGTAAAACACACCTGGGGTTAGTTGAGCTTAAAAGTTGGGGCTAGTTGGAACATACAAGAATTATATACAGATTCAAGTGAAAGGGATCGGGTAGAATTTATAGTTTGTATAATGTAGGCACATGTATATAGTGTTACAAAAGACACTATAAAGCCGATTCAGCTGTAAAATAGACCAATGTTATGGTAAGGCTTTGTTACGTAGCATCTTGCTTAAAATGACACTGAAACCTGTCAAAATGCTATGTATTTGCCGTGCAATCAGGCGTTTTAAAAGTAATATGTAAGTTCACTCGTATATTATTATGTCATATCACAAAGATGCACTTATGATAAAATTCTTTTTTGACGTTTATGCGTTTACTAGGTTAGGTCTTCAATCTGAAACGCCTAACTGCACAGCAACCACAGAGCATTTCATCAGTTTTTAGCATCACTTTATATGAGAAACGCTACGTAACATAGCCTTGCCATAACATTGGTCTATTTTACTGTAGAATAGGTCCATATATCTTTTGTTTATTTTATTGCATTTTACGTTGATTTATATTGAAAATTTATATTGAACTTTTGATATTCATTAACTGCACATATTTGAGCTTTACTCTGTGCTGAATCATTGTTTTGCCAAGAAGCACCAGGCCCATAAAAATTTATATTATAAGAGACATCACATATTTTATTTGCATTTTGCATTTAGTTTGCTTTGATTTATGAAAAAAAAACTTATAAACAAGTCAGATTTTTTTAACAATGAGTAAAGCATAAATTATCGGTTTACTAGTATTTTTGTCATTTTTTTATCGTTAATACTTTATTTGGTAGACGTTACAACTAGCCTCTAACACGAAGTTAGTTGTAGCACATTTTCTAGAAAATAATACATAGTAAAATAATGAATGATAGTTGTGAAATTGTTTACTTCCTGTAGGATAGATTAAAGTAATAGTAAAAAAATCAAAAATGAAAATTTTTATACAAATTTACGTTTCAAAGGTTTCTGAACATTTTGGCAATTGGATGTATGTGTGTGTGTGTGCGGATACATATTTCTGTCGACGATTTTGCAAATACGGATCAACTAATTTCAATAATTCAAAAAACATTCGATATCTTCTGGTAAGGAGACGTGCTAATTAGTTTTTGGCAAAGGCAGCAGTCTAGCCATCAAAACTGAAAATTAGACATATGTAAATCGTTATATCACATATTCTATAAAAATTATAATAATAAGTACAAATTTTGTATGCATTTTTATAGGTTCTGTACCAATGTTTACGTGTTAGACAACTACGCTGTGCTTACGCGCTTCGATATTTCGACTTCAAATCAGCAATGCAGCGCGATTGCTTAAAAAAATGTTCATAATTTTCAAAAAAAATCAAAATACAAAATAGATCGAAACATAAAAAAATCTAATTTTTCAAGTCAAATTTTTTTCAAAATTTCTCAAAAATCTATTTTTTTTCAAACATTCGCAAAGTTCTTTATTTCGTACAAATACATATAGTCGTATAGTCAGTAGATCTGAAGATATATCCATTCAAATAAAACTGTTACAAGTAGCTCCCTAATAGCCTCTGCTATTTTTAAGTGTTCTGTATAAGCGCAAATTTTAACTAACTATGAGATGCAATCAGGCGTTTTAAAAGTAATATGTAAGTTCACTCGTATGTTATTATGTCATATCACAAAGATGCACTCATGATAAAATTCTTTTTTGACGTTTATGCGTTACTAGGTTAGGTCTTCAATCTGAAACGCCTAACTGCACAGCAACCACATAGCATTTCATCAGTTTTTAGCATCACTTTATATGAGAAACGCTACGTAACATAGCCTTG